TACAATTTGACCATTTTACACAGATAGGCAACAGTAGTGTTAGGAGTCTTGCCCAAGGACTCTTATTGGTATAGTGTAGGGTGCTTGTCCAGGTGGGGATTGAACCCCAGTCTACAACATAGAAGGCAGAGATGTTACCCACTACACTATACCAACCACACTACAGTACCACGATATACCACTGCCACAGTATATCTTGGTAATCTTTACCTCAGATAAACTGGGTGACACTGCCTTCCCTGTTTTTGCTGTTCATACGGAAGCGGAAAGCCCGAGGAAAATAAGTGGAAAAAACAGAAAATCCAAAACAGAAAATTTAGTAAATGATTAAGAGATACAGAGAAAATGGGCCTCCTACCAACCACCTGGAAGACCTGGTAGACACCAAAACTGCCCCCCATCAGATAAACAGCACTTAAAGCTTTCATCTCTGAGAGAGAGGAGAAAATCGAGCTGCTTCAGATCTGAAAACATCCACAGGTGTTTCTGTCCATCCTTCCACTGTGAGAAGACGACTCAGTGCTGTGGGTCTGAAAGAATGTGTAGCTGTCAAGAAGAACCTCACTGAGAAAAGGAGACGGACACACCAAACAAAGAAGCTGAGCAATGGACTGACCACCCCAGAGTCCAGATCTCAACACCACTGAATGTGTTTGATTACTTCAGAAAATGATCAACCAGCTTCTAAGACTGAACTTTGGAGGTGTGTCTGCAGATTCTTTGAGGAGCTGAAAGTGAGTCTCCTGAAAAGAATGGAAGCTGGAATAAAGGGAAAGAGTGACACACTGAACACTCAAACAGCTGATATTAGATGTAGTGGTTGAAGCTTCTATGCAGATTCTGTTAAACATATTTTTTAAATTTTTTCTGACAGTAAAAAATTAATAACTTAAATGTCATTTGACTAGAAATGATATAAGTAGAGGGTCGTCATTGTCTTTTGCACAGTAACGTAGTGCATGCTCACCCCACGCTACACTCCCTCTGAATGAAGGCCGGGCTACATCCCTGACTAATGGCCTCACTGTTCATGCTGTCAAACTTAATGGCACGACACCAGCCTATTCCTGGAAATTCCCTCATGTGTGTACGCAAGATGTGCTCATAATTTCGGAGGCGTACAGTTTGCTAACGTGAGATTAACGCTGTACTGGCATGTCTGATTAAATATCCTTAAATCAATGATGGTCTCTCTTCATATCCAGTCCTACACTTGCTCTTCTGAAAGAGATTTACAGAGTTAAATCTTCACTTATGATGCTAGCAAATCACTGGCTTAATGATACAGTGACTTTATGATGGGGAACTAGCCACGTACGTGTTCTGACAAGCTGTATAAACGTCCAGCACTGATTGATTACAGGGGGTGACCAGATTCAGCACATGTTTCTGAATAGAAATCACTCATTTGAGTGCATTATGCCTTATGCCTTTTATATTATCAGATAAGTAGCATTAATGGCTAATAACAGTTCAGATACTGTAAGTACATGGACAGGATATAAATTAACACACTGGCTATGGGGGAGGTTTTTCATTATTATATTGTTATGTATCCATGTCACAACAGACCTTACAGCAGAATTTGGTCATATAAATAGAGGTTCAGTTCATGTCCCTTTGTGTTGATCTTAAAGACCCATATTCTATATTTTCTTGTATTTTTTTTATTTTGTCCTCTGATGTTTATGTGGTACCAAAACAGTCATAATTAATTTTACATGATTTACATGATGAATTAAACAAGCTGTTTTTAAATGTGCCTTTAAGACTGATATATGTAAACAAGCTCTGTTCTGATTGGTAGTCCCTCATTCAAAAAGCAGTCCAGCCTGAAACACATCTAATAACAGGGGTCGGCTCCACAGCAGAATTAGATTTGTAGGTAAAAATAAAATAATCCTCCTTTACAGTAAAATAAAGCTCTGCTGATCGTTCAACACAGTTTAACAATAAATAGTCTTAAACTCTGGAGTTAATGTAGAAATGCTAATTCGCCCTTTAACCCTGAAGATCAGCGCAGGCTGCTGGTCACCATAGCAACGCAGACAACAATCTCGCCTAGCTAGTAGCTAACGAAACGGCAAAGAGAGAGATTTAAGACGTACATCGATAATTTGGAGACGAATGGACTTATTTGTGTTTATAATCACTCCAGCTGGTTTCCTGATACGTTTAATCTGCAACGAGAAACTGAAACACTAAAAAGTCGCAAAGCTGAAGTCAGTTTCTCATTCGCCAGCTTCTTGTTTGAATTTTCATGTTCCACCTTAAATGGTGCAACAGTTAGCAACATAATTAGCTACATTCAGGCACCTCAGGTACCATTTAAGGTGGAACTGGAAAATTCGAACAAGAAGCTGGTGAATGAGAAGCGACTTCAGCCTCGTAAAAAGTCAAACACAGAGACATTTTACAAGAAACTATTCTGCTTTTCAGGAGAAGTTTCCTGCCAGAGATGTGAGAAAAGCAGCTATATCTGAGCTAAATCTTAAAGTAGAACTAAGTAAGCAAGTAAGTCTGCATTTTCATTTACATTATATTTTTAACCTATACTATGACATTACCTCATACTGAGATATATTTACAGCAAAGATGGTGAAATGTTACTTTAATAAAATGGACATAAAATGTTGTGGCTCCCAAGGTGGTTAGATTTTTGTTGAAACTTGACAGAATGGCTCTTCTTAACATTTGGGCTGCCGACCCCGCCTTAAACCTCAGCATGAATGTGAGGGGCTAAACTGCTGTACATGAATTATGTAAATATCTTGGTTTTCATGACATCACAAAAGCAATGAATTATCTGCATAATTTCCATTTTTGGACTGATTTGGACTGGGGAGTGAATGGTACGTTTTAAAACTTGTTTATATTATAGAATGTTTATGCTATATTAAAATCTTTTATTAAAAATAACCAAGGGATTTTTTTCTTTGCAAACCTCTTACTGAGGCTGGTTATTTCGCAGCATGAAACACACAGATATTAGTACCGCCAGCATCTTTAAAGTGAGGCCTACTAGCTTTCATTTTAGCATTGTAACTATAACACTATTATATTGTATTTCCCTTCCAGTTTTAGGCCACTAAAAGTATTCTGAGACATGTTTTATGTTTATAAGACGTTTAAAAGGGTATTTGTAAGCGTATTATGTACGTAGTATTTTGTGTATAACCATGTTATACTGCATTGTCGCTTTGTACTTTTTATCTTGTGGTCTACCTCCTGAAGTCCTGCAATGGTCAGCTAGTATTCGATATATAGTTGTGCCACATGGACCTACTCGCTTAGTGGTGGTTTAGCTGAAATGAGTTTAAAAATCTGTTTTTTGACCAATCAAATCCAAGAGAAAAATTTTTGGCTAAAGGGAAAGTCCACTGATCTTTCAAAATTTCTTCACAATTCTGTCACTGAGATACAGTCAAACGCTCTGTTCTAGAGAAACTTACCGAGTCAGAATTGTTCACAGTGGTGGTGATAGGAACCAGACGTCCACCTCTAAAAGCTCCCTCACAGAAAGTCACTACATGAAATGGTTATGAATTCACTGCCTGATGACTGAGACACTGTTTTTTTGATAGTTTTGAGAATGTTGTAGCTTAAAACATCTATTTTTTAAAGCCATTCATGGTTGACATGTACTTGCAGGATGTTATGAGGCAAAATAGTCCCCAAAGAAAACATATTTTTTCAGACTTTCCGCTATTTTATCATCATCAACATTCCATATAAACTCAGAAGGCGTGTAGGTTCGCTGGTGTTTGGATAGTAAATAAACTGGCTATATTTGTGTTGTAGTCATGGCGTTCCTGTCACCACCACTGTAAAGACATCTGAGTCTGTACATTTTTTGACAATGGACAATTTCACATGAAGCCACTCTAAATGACCGACTGAACTATGTAGACATTTTCAATTATTTATGAAAACTCCTCTCAGTTTCCACTTTTTGGTCTTTTTGCTTCTATATTGATCTTCATAGTGTTGATTAAGCCCAATTAGATGAACTGTTTGCTCTGTCTAGCTGTAACATCCCACCAGCATCCATTATAACTGACAATAGTATTACATCTGACACAGTATTGACTCTACACCTCATTTCATCCATAACCAATCCATATTATTCATGGTTTGATGACCTGACTCTTTTAATGATGTTCAGCTATTCATGGGAACGCCTGCAGCCAACAGCGAACAATAAAAATCACGATGGAAAGTGGTAAAAGCTCGACCAGAAATCTTAGAAAGAAAGAAAGAAAGAAAGAAAGAAGGAGCGGAAGGAAGAAAGACAGAAAGAATGAAAGAAAGAAAGAAAGAAAGAATGAAAGAAAGAAAGGAAGAAAGAAAGAAAGAAGGAGCAAAAGAAAGAAAGAAGGAAAGAAAGAATGAAAGAAAGAAAGAAAGAGAAAGAAAAGAAGGAAGGAGTGAAAGGAGAAGAAAGAAGGGAAGAAAGAAAGAAAGAAAGAAAGAAAGAAAGAAAGAAAGAAAGGAAGAAAGAAAGAAAGAAAGGAAGAAAGGAAGAAAGAAAGGAAGAAAGAAATAAAGAAAGAAAGAAAGAAAGAAAGAAAGAAAGGAGCGAAAGAAAGGAAGAAAGAAAGAAAGAAAGGAAGAAAGAAAGGAGCGAAAGAAAGAAAGAAAGAAAAAAAGGAGCGAAAGAAAGAAAGGAATAAAGAAAGAAAGAAAGAAAGAAAGAAAGGAAGAAAGAAAGAAAGGAAGAAAGAAAGAACGGAAGAAAGAAAGAAAGAAAAGAAGAAAGAAAAAAAGAAAGAAAGAAAGAAAGAAAAGAAGGAAGAAAGAAAGGAAGAAAGGAAGATGAACGGAAGACAGAAAGTCTTTCTTCAATTCTTGACTCTCTTTGTGTTCGCGCTGATTTGCGTCACTGGCAATGACGTCAACCCCTCTGTTCCCGGATGTCGGGACCTGATTGGATGGCTGTTTAAATGGCCCGCTCTGATTGGTCAAGAGGTTGCTTCATTGCCATTGGCTCCTGGTGCTAAGCGTGAGTGGTTTGAAAATCGTGGTGTGCAGCTGCAGCGCGAGCCGGCGGCTTTAAGAGTGAGTCCGAGTTTCATTAAAAGCCCTGTAAATGTGGAGGATTACAGCTTCTGATTTAAACACGGAGTTAGGGATCTGCGATGCATTCGGCTGGCGTTTATTGTTTTCTACAACCTTTTAACTGCAACTTTGATTGTTTACCCCGGTGTCTGGTTGTTTACTCCGGTGTCTGGTTGTTTGTCATGCTTAGTGTTCGCTATGGCGGTGTTCTTTGGCTTTATGTAGTTTAAACCGGACACGGGTCGAGTCAGGTTCAGTTTGTTTCATGCACAATTTAGATTTAAGTTTTTGTGTCATCCCGAGTTCGGTCCGCCATTGTTTTTTTAAATTGTAGTTTCAAAAGCTAGGCATGTCAATGCAGTTAGGGTTGAGAAGGCGACGCGAAAAACTACAACTCCCACTATGCACTGCGAGAGCCGCCGGCTCACAGGCTACTCAACCGTTTCAAAAGGCTTCAAACGCCGCAAAACATAGTTTAGACAAACAGTACACACGATAAACTCATCATTTATATATGGAAAAGGCTTCTTTTCAGCAATATTTCCAGAATTGTAGGTTTCGTCTCTTTTTTTTGTCCAGTTTGAGTATTGATAGCACTTTAACTGTGGCGTTTTTAAATGGGAACAGATTCTGCTGCTCTCTAGCTTTTTAAACTGACGTTAAAAGGAAAGTCCACCAAGTAATCAAATTTTCTGCGTAATTACATTTTTGAGATATAAATAAATTTATGCAGAGTAGTTTGATGTTCTGTGCTCCGTTTTAGAGAAACTTACTGACTCAAAACTGTTCACAGTGGTGGTGATAGGAACCAGACGTCCACCTCTAAAAGCTCCCTCACAGAAAGTTACTACATGAAATGGTTATGAATTCACTGCCTGATGTGAGACTGTTTTTTATGGTAGTTTTGAAAAGGTTCTGGCGTAAACTGACTCTTCCTTTTGTAAAAGATTGTCTGTAAATTTGCACAGAAAACTTTAACATTTTAAAGAGATCAAAGGGAAAAACTTCCATGTATTAAGTGACTTTATCTATTTGTTTAATGATTTGTTGTTAAGATGATTAAAAGCTTAAAGTTTTGCCATTTTGGGCTTAAAACACTTTTTTTATCAGGAGTGTACATATAGGCTACAAATACAGACTCGTGTAGGTTCTCTGGTTTTGGATAGTAAATAAAATGTCTATATTTGTGTTGTAGTCATGGCGACCCCTGGTTCCTATCACCACCACATCTGAGTTTCTGTAAAGAACCATTATGCACCAAACCGCTCTGAATGACTGTGAACATTTCAACCATTGAATTATGCAAAAGATTTGAAAAATAGCTGGAATTTCTCTTTAATGTAGTTTTTAGGTCAATATATAAATCTTTGGCCTCAAAATAGTAAATTGTGGTCTCAACACATTAATTTGTGGCCTCAATATAGTAATTTGTTGCCTCAAAATTCAACTCAGCACTTTAGTTTCACTAAAAAAGTAACAAAGCAGGACTGACTAAACCAGTTCAGCACTATTGATGATAAAGAACATTTCCTGTAAATGAGCCAACCTTGTCTCTGCTTCTTCTAGATCTACCACCATGCTGCGAGGAGATGAGCTTGCGGAGCTGCAGTGCACTGTTGCGGTGGAGCGTGTGAACGCCTCCTCTGGCCACGTGATGAAACGGCAGGTCATGCGCTCTGCCATGGTCATGCTGGGCCGGGATGAGTTTGAAGAGTTGGTGCTGCGGGTTCAGGACCGCACTAGAGGTCACACAGTGAGCTTCATGCTGCGTAACTTTCAGCTGTTCACCCGTTTTGCCAAAGATGGCAAGTGCACCATAAAGGTGGACCCCGAGGGCACGCAGGTGCTGATCTCTGACTGTCCAACAGATCGCCTGTGCACCTTTCTACGCACCCTGAAGATAAAGCACGAAGCCTCGCGTGACCATAAGCCTGTGAGTGACCGTGCCAGACTGAAGGCCGCCCTGCCCCGCTCCTTTAACACCATCAGCCCGCTGCAGCAGAAGGACGTGGAGAAAGCCAACGAGCTGCGGAGCAAAGTGAACGCACCCCTGCAGCTGAAGGGTCTCACTGAGAGATCTGCCAATAAGAACAAGGCTGGAGTGTCACAGCAGGTTAAAAGGCCAAGAGTGGACTGCGATACAAGCCCGGTAGGATGATCTGCATAAGTGCAGCATGGCCTTTAGACGTTTTTAAAGTGATGGTTTGGTCAAAATTCAGTTTTACCCAGCTTGCCCATTACCATATGTAGCTATTTAGCCACAGTGGTGGACAAAGTACACAAATCATGCACTTGAGTTAAAGCAGAGATACTCAAGGTAAAATATTACTCCAGTAAAAGTAGAAGTTCCTCCCTTTAGACCTCCACTTGAGTAAAAGTACTAAAGTATTCACCTTCAAATGTACTTAAGTATCAAAAGTAACAGTACTAAAAGATTAATTATCATTATAATTATCACTATCATTTTTGTAACAAGACTCACTTCATTAACTCATTTTAGGTGAAAATACTCCAGTGTCTCTCTTGGTAAACCAGTCTTTTAATAGAATGTCGTTAATTAGTGACGCTGATGTCTATTAAAATTATCATAAGCACAAAACACTGAAGGGAAACAGTTTCCATCAGGTAGAACTGAGTGGCTCTGAAATCACTTTTTACAAACAAGCAAAGTTTCAGTTTAAGGTTTATTTGCAACTTAGTTACAAGTTTAAGTTTAATAAAAACTTTAAAACTCAGATTCACAAATGAGTTTCCTTTACTAAACTGCATCTGTAGGTCTCTGTTCATAAACATAAACTAGCCTAAACTAATTTACTATAAAATGAAATGTGTTTGTATAAATTCAGAAAAAAGACACGTCAGTCTCAACTGCATATGTGTACATATTTCTATATTGTGGTCTATTTACACAAAGTTAGGTTAGTTCATCATTTATGTTGAATAGACTCTCCCAAAATTTTACGCTGCTGCACTGACATTGAACCGTGTGCTGCACTGGGTCGGTATGACCAACAGGTCAAAACAAGCTCAAAACAAAGCGCGCTGTGCCCTGATTGGTGTTCTTGCTTCACACTTCTTTCATTTTGACATGTTATTGCTGAGTGCAGAAGGAAGGCAAATAGCTAACATTATTGATTTAAGCAAAATAACATCACGGCTGTGATTTGGTCGCCGTAGATAGGTCGCCAAATTATAGTTCTTTAACAAGCAGCTTGTTGCTACGTCAGAGTAACGAGCTCCGCCCACTCGCTGCACAGCCGGCAGTTCGTTCTCCAGCTCCTTACACTAAATTCCCAAACTGTCATCACCACTGAGCAGCTTTTCAGTCGGCAGCTGAGACAGAAGAACAGCTAAACAACCTGGAATCAGCCAGAAATGAACCCAACACCATTCGCCAAACGTGTAGTCTGATCTTCAGAGTCTGACCAAATCAGACTGAGCCATAAAACTGCCGCAATATCAAGTTCAGCTCAGTTTTGTCATTTTCTGCCAGATCAGTATTAATGTTGTTTTGTTCCAGCCAGTCTGTAAAGCATCTCACAGCCCATTTAGTTTGGCGAATGGTGTTGGGTTCATTTCTGGCTGATTCCAGGTTGTTCAGCTGTTCTTCTGTCACAGCTGCCGACTGAAAAGCTGCTCAGTGGTGATGACAGTTTGGGAATTTAGTGTCGTCTCATCTTCACAGTCTGACCAAATCGGCCGTCGGTCAAATGTGATCTAAAAAGTGTCCATTTTCTGTTTGTGGCAAAGTAAGAAGTAAAAACGTTCAAATGGCTTAGCAACAGCATCTCAGCGGAGTGATAGTGTTTGTGAAAAACCTGTGACGTTTTGGTGAAATAACAGCATATTTAGAACGCTTCTCAACCAATCAGCTTGCGTGGCCGGAACTAACTGTTGTATAAAGGAAGATGAATGTCTCATTGGTGGTGTATAACTGCAGTAACAGTCCTCAAATCATCTTTACAGTGGAGAGTTTGGATCAACAGAAATGAACCATCCAATGAGGAGGACCTTACACACTTAAAGATGCTTCTGCAGGGGTTCTTTAGTAAAGAAATGGTTCTAAATAGAGCCATGAACACTCAAAGAACCCTTTGCATGATTAAAGTTATTTGCATTATGAAAGCGCTCTTCAGATTGATGGAGAATGTGCTGTATAGAACCTCTTTGAAAACAAGCTTGACATCGTAATAATAGAAGAACACTTTTTGGTGCTATATAGAAACATAGAAACCTTTTTGGGAAAAAAAGGTTCTATACAGAACCATCTACAGCACATTCTCCATCAGCCCGAAGAGCCTTTTATGATGCAAAGAACCGTTTAGTTCTGCAAATGATTCTTTGAGTGATCATGCTTCTATATAGAGCCATTTTCTTGGCTAAAGAACCCTTGAAGAACCATTTTTTTTGAAGTGTACCTCAATTTAGCTTCATTTGGCTGAAAGGGTTGAAACTCATCTCTGGTGTCGTTTGTGTGCCAAATAAAGAGAGAATCACTTTCTTTCCGATTTTGTTTGACGACTGAGGTGGTGATTCTAATGCTGGCTTTGTTGCCTTTATTTGCATATAGCTCATTGGCTAGGCTTGCAGTCAGGGTTGGGTGACACCACAGGGATTCCCAGTGATTATGATGTATGTATGTAATCAGTCTGCGTACTGTAGTGAAAGAACATTTCTATAAGTGATAGAACTCAATTGTATATAATACAGATGAGGCTGAGGGACGTAATGCTGCACTGCAGGATTCTGCAATAACACAACCAATGTTGAAAGCTAGTTTTAGGCCAGAATGCCTAAGCATATTGTTATTGATCTATAAACATGGACCAATAACGCCACAGTGAGCACTCTCAGCAGCAGTATATTGATAAATCATACATTCTGTCTGCTTTTTTGCTGTATGCTGATACGTTTTGGACGTCTGTGGAAATAAAACTGGGTTTGTGTGTTGTAGGTGAAAGCTCTCCATCCGAATAAAAAGCCTGTCCTGACTTTGCCAACGGCACGAAAGCTCAGCAAAGAACAGACAGCGGTTCTGAATGCGGTTTTGAGCGGAAAGAATGTCTTTTTCACTGGAAGTGCAGGTATGTCGTATACAAGTTTTCCACTTTCTGCTGGCCGTCTTGATTTGGGGCAGTCTGTGTTGCAGTTTTGTGCGGTAAATAATTTGAGGATGTAAATGCACTCCTGCTGAATTTGAATGCTGCTTTGTACCAAAAGGTTGTACCATTATTTTGTGATTCATGTTATTTGTATAGTGGGTGTTGCAATGTTTTCGTTTAGTCACAGCTCTAGGGTTATTTATTTTATTTTATTATTTCATATATGTATGTATGTGTATGTATATTTAATTATTTATTTATTTATTTATTTATATATATTATCAGCCATTCAGACATCTGAATCGACCATGAACGGTCAAGATTGGTGCCTCCCTAACGGTTTGCTTTTGCATTTCATGTCCTTTTCTATCCCTCACATTAATATGACTGTGTGGTTCTCTTTCAGGTACAGGAAAGTCCTTCCTGTTAAAGAGAATTATTGGATCGCTGCCTCCAAAAAGCACGTACGCTACTGCCAGCACTGGTGTTGCTGCATGTCATATAGGAGGGACGACACTACACAACTTTGCAGGTTAGAAATATAAAACTGCGTTGTTTGAGCTGTGGGAGCTTTCTCACAGCCAAGACAGAAATTTTATTAAATATCCTACATATTTATTTTAAATAAAGTCATTAAATGATGTAGATGTAAAGCATGTTGAGCTACAGACAGACAAACTGACAGACCACTTGCAGACGGAAGGAGTAAGTCAAAGGAAAAGGGGAGGGGGGGGGTAGTTTCCAAATTAGTTCATGTAAAAATAAGTTCAGAAAAACAATTAAAACCTACAGAGAAAACGTGACTCCTAACAACCACCTGGCTGACCACCCCAGAGTCCAGATCTCAACACCACGGAATGTATTTGGTATTGCTTGTATCATGCGAAGCAGAGAGTGCAACCAAGGGTGGTCTCTGATTCTTGCGCAGTACTGTAGTTGGGGGGGAAATTGAGGAGGACTAGTGACTGACACATGCATATATGTTTGATTTTCAGCCTGTCTGAATAAAATGCACATTAATGCATGTTGTTGTGCATTGTGGTGCAATTAAACTTTATAATTTTATTTTATTTATTTTTTCATTTCTGGGACCTTAAATGTATTATAACATTTTTATATTGTATATAATATTATATTTAAATTTAATTTAAATAAATAGTGCAACAAACCGAAGTGGGCTATATCTGCACCAAAAGATTGTAGCATTATTTTGTGGTTCTTATTTGCATAGATATTTGTGTTGCAACTTTGGTCAATAGAAAGCTCCGGAAATGTGTGTTCATGTTTTTGTTTAGTCAACAGCTCTAGAGTTTTAAACATATATATATATTTTATCAGCCATTCAGAAATCTGAATTGACTATAAATGTTCATAATCGTTGCATCCCTATTGGCTTGCTGTATTGCTTATTTTTTTCTTTATCATAAAAAATATTATTATTATTATTATTATTATTATTATTATTATTATTATTACATTTTTATCGAATTTCATTTAAAAGTGCAACAACCCTGGCTGGGCTGTATCTGTACCACATGGTTGTAGCATTATTTTGCGATTCATGTTATTTGCATAGTAATTTTTATTGAATTTCATTTAAAAAAATACAGCCCAGTACGCTGAGTGGGCTGTATCTGTCTCTCGGTAGGGTGACTCTCTTACCCTTCATGTTTTCAGGTATAGGCTCTGGCTCAGCCCCTCTGGAACAGTGCCTGGAGCTCGCCCAGCGGCCCGGAGTCCGGCAGCACTGGACCAGCTGCAAACATCTCATCATCGACGAAATCTCCATGGTGGAGGCTCAGTTCTTTGACAAGCTTGAAGCCATAGCCAGGCATGTCAATGAGCTGTTTCTGTTCATTTGGAATCAATCTGCTAAAGCAGCTTATTAGCTTTACTGAACAGTTGTCAGTTACTTCCTCACATGCACTTATCTGTATCTGTAGAATGAGAACCAGGAGGCCAGCACTTATTGACCCGGTTTGGTCTATTATAGTATGGCTGTCCATTACAGAAATGAAATTTCAGAAGCTGAAATCAATGTCGTGCTTCTTCTGAGCTGTTCTCATAATCGTCTGTAACTATGATTACATTTGTTCCTTTCTGTGACGCAGAAAAAATGTGGTTATAATCTGGCATTGGCTGATGAACAGGCTTTATTAGTCACTCAGGTGTACCTCCTAAATGACTAGCAGATGGCAAATGGCTGCTTTGGGTAAATTGTTTTTGCTTCAAGCCTCATGGCTTAATGAGTCAGTTCCACAAATGGAATATTTGATACTGATTCACGAATCCTTCCAGAGAGAGAGCAAAATTTGAAAGAGAAAAACAAACCCCCATTTGTTCACATTCATCCTGCGTTGATGCTTTGATTGAAAGTCCTGGTGACTTATCTCTCTGGTTCTGTGGTTGAAGGTCTATCAGAAGATCCACTGAGCCGTTTGGAGGGATCCAGCTGATTGTATGTGGAGATTTCCTGCAGCTTCCGCCTGTTACCAAAGGAAAGGAGAAACCCAGCTTTTGCTTCCAGGTAATGTCCATTTTTTTGCACATTTTTAAATGCGCCATCATGTTTATTGGCTGAATTTAACTTTATTATTATCTTGAAATACTCTGCGTCCTGAAAGCAATCAATAAATCTAATTCTCTGACAATATAAAGAAGAAAAAAGATCCAAATGAGGCCAAAGAACAGTAAAAACCCCATCCAGTTCTTTGGATGGCTTATCTGCCTGTCTATCACGACCTGCCCACAGGCGCCCGCTCTGCACGTTTACTCGTTTGGGCATGTGCAGGGTCAGTCATATGGCAACACACACACAGCTGAAAGGTAACGAGCTAGATTCAGAAGAATGGCAGAGAAAGTTACACAAGCATGTACAACAGCTGGCACTGCTAAAACACAGAAGTAGAAAAGGCTTAGAACAGAGTTAAGAGGCGACACCAAGATTGCTTTTTTTCTGTTGGACAGGTAATTATCTGGTTCGTTTTGTTTGAGGGATTTATTTTCCTGAATTATGTAGCCAACATAGCTACTTATGTGGCTACATTATTTATTAGTCCATTGCTAATGTTAGCTAGGCTGTAGGTGTAAACTAGCTAGCTATGTTTTGTGTATGTATTTTGTGTGTGTATATGTTCGATGTTTGCATTGTGGTCAGGCCATGCGCGTTCATGTGTTTTGGGGGAGTGGCTTTGGGTGGACAGCTGAAAGTAGAGGGTGGAGGTTTTTTTTTGGTGGGATATATATTTTATTATTAGTAGTATTTTTATTATTTTTTATTATTATTATTATTATTATTATATATACACTTCCTGGCTTCTCCAAAATCACCTACTTCAGCTCCACCCACAATAAACTACGCACCTCAATTTATAGAAAATAATAAAGCAATTTGAATTGCGGTCACAATATTGGCTCATTTTATAAAGCATTCGTATGCACAGATTTGATTGTATGTGGAAAATTGAGCCCCTCCAATGAAATACCATCATATTGACCATTCTATCCTGTTTTTGGATTATCAGTTTTTTTCCCTTCATTTTGTACAACCTTTTACATTAAAAGGCCAAACTGTGGTTTATTTACATTTTATTGTGACCTTTATTTTATATACAAATCATCAAACAATGCAATACCATGTTTATGATTTTTTTTACAAAAATGTCACACACAATGTTCTTCATTGCAACATTCATGTTTTAAATAATGTTTAAGAAAATGTACAAATCTTGCATAGTGGCAGTGCCGGAGAGCTGCATGTGCAGTGTGCCACCACTGGCTTCTTATAGATATTTCATGCTGGCTTGTCATCTGATCCTTTTACCGTCATTGGCAATAATAGGTCATGCAAAATCCAAACAATGTAACTAAACCTCAATTTAAACTGTTTTCATTTATTGATCACCCCCTTTATATCAAGTCTATCCTACTGCAAATGGGCTGCATTTATATTATGAACCTTCTATGCACAGATTGGGTAAATGAGCGAGTGTTGGATGAATCGTGTAAACATTTGTTTCAAAACATACAATTAACTCAGCAGTCCATACAGTCCATTTATGGAAAATGAGCTGCAAAATGGCCTGTTTTTAATTCACATTTTCTGAGATGTCACGAAATCCAATGTGCTTGTGTATCGCTGTCAGAACCATCTCCAAAATGGTAACTTTACAGGAGAAGCAAAAAACCTACTTTACTTTTAATGTAAGTCAATGGAACCAGACTTTTTTCCAAGTCATTTTGGGCCGTTTTCTTTAAGTCCATTCATCATGAAATTTCCACACAATGTAAAGGGCAACAGGCATTTTCAAATTATGTCAAAAACTGGAAAACGACCAAAATGGAGATACATGGTTTCGTTCCGACAGCAGCGCTATGCATCCTGCAGCAGTTTAGCCCCACCCACTCTCACAGAAGTTCTAAGGAGTGTTTTAGCCTGGACTTTTAAATAAGGTGCAAAGTAGGACGTCTGACAGAGGTCGTTAACCTATCAGTCTTAAAGGCACAGCGACAAACAGCCCGTTTAGAATTCACTGTTTTTGTGTCGTCATGAAAATCAGTGAATTTACATATCCGTCTGCTCTGCCTACAGCTGTTTATCATCGCACATTCACACCTGGATTACTCTGAGAACGGCACTTATCTGGTCCTTCAAGAGTTCTTTAGTAAAAAGGAAATGGTTCTGTACAGAGCCATGAACACTCAATAAACCCTTGGCATGATTAAAGGGTTCTTTGCATCATAAAAGGGTCCTTCGGGTTGGAGAATGTGCTGTAGATGGTTCTATATAGCATCAAAAATGGTTCTGTTGTTAGACACTTGCAAATGATGGCTCTTTAAGGGTTCTTTAGTAAAGAAATTGATTATATACGATAATTTTCTTTACTAAAGAACCATAATTTTCAAGTGTGTGAGGGGTTCTTTGCATCATTAAAGCGTTCTTCAGGTTGTTGGAGAATGTGCTGTAGAAGATTCTATATAGAACCTTTTTGAAAAGGGTTCTATACAGCGCCAAAAAGGGTTCTTCTATCGTTAGACTTATCATAACGATAAAAGAACCATTTTTGGTGCCATATAGAACCTTTTTCAAAAAGGCTCTATATAGAACCATATAAAACACATTCTCCATCAGTCTAAAGAACCATTTCATGAAGCAAAGAACCCTTTAATCATGCAAAGAGAAAGATAGAAACATTTTCTTTACTGAAGAACCCTTGGAGAACCATCTTTTTTTAAATAGTGTACATATACGGAGCCCCGCTGGCGACATCCTGTATAAATAAAAAACAATGCGTGGCCACAACTTAATAAGGCGTGGGAACAAGATCATTAAGACATGGCCTCGACATAGTAAGCCGTGGGAATGATTCTAATGCGTGGCCGTGACTTAGTAAGGCATGATCTCGTTCCCACACTATCAAATTCCCATGCCTTACTAAGTCGTGGCCAGGCATTAGGATCTCATTCCCACGTGTTAGTACGGCGTGGTCACGCCTTATTTGTATTTATACAGGATGCCACCAGCAGGGCTCTGTAGTATCAGTCTTAAAGTAACAAACACAGCCTGTTCAATTCTGGAGAATACAGAGGTTAGAAAATGGTCATATAAAAATAGACGACTTTAAACTCAACACACACACATCATAAGCGCACAAAAATAGGACAAGCCCACAGATCCTGTGTGTGTTTGTGTGTATTTTATCTAAGACTGTGTATGAAAGCGGCTCAGTGTACAAAAAAGTTTTTTTGGGGGGGTGATGTCTCACAAAAAACCCAAACACTTCACCCCTGTAGTGTGAACATGGCCTCATTTTCAGTCCTGCTGCCTACCTGAGCCGGATAAATTGGTGTGAATTCATTCCACCTTGGCATGCTCAGTAGGGACTATGACGCAGACCAGCCGCTAACTGTCCACTCACTGTGCTCTGCAGGCGAGGACCTGGAGGAAGTGCATCCACGTGAACATGGAGCTGACAGAGGTGCGCAGGCAGACCGACCGGACCTTCATCTCTCTCCTGCAGGCTGTCAGAGTGGGCAGGTACCCTCAACATAGCTAATCTGTTTCTCCTACAGGCCATTTCTGCATGCGCTTAGCCGCTGTGTGGCTCACCGGCAGATAAGGCTCCTGTTGTGAAAAGGCCATGATGGTCCAGTGCCTTAAAGTGAAATCATATTGGTATAGTTATGCACTGGATCTGCGAGGCAAGTACAGGGAAACTTATACCCTAGGAATTAGAATCATGCTGACCGCAGGAGTGTGTGAACTGCCTGTAGAAGAGTTCGGCCAATCAGAAGCAGCCAAACACTCGTGCTGTTAACAGGACAACAACAACGACAACAGAACCATAACTAACTTGAAGTCTGATGCGCTGAGTTCAGAGTTCGAGTCTCAGGCCAGTAAAAGTGGATATTATCGCAGGATAAAACCTCCAAATATGTCCCAAAATCTGTCATACTTATGTCTAATTTTTTATTTCCGCCTAATATATGTGAGTTTATGTGCAATTATGTCTTGCTACTGTAACACTGTGGGATCAGTAAAGTTCTGTCTGTCTAAGGTCCAATCCTATTTCACCTCTTGCCCCTACCACTTGGCCCTTAGCCCTCTGTTTTGCGCGTTCATGTCTACACTCTCAGAAATTAAGGTACTAAACTGTCACTGGGGCGGTTCCCCTCTTGTCACTGGGGTGGAACCCTCAAGGGTCCATCTCAGTACCTGTAGTCAGGGAACATAAATGAACCATAATCCACTGAAATGATATGTTCTAAGCTGTACTGACTCCACACACCCCGTCTCGTCTCCAGGCTTTTATTGTACTGTTCTGTTTAAAACATTCGGTTATGAAAAGGTACAAATACGAACTTTTCACCTGGAAAAACTTATTTAAGGTTCACAATCAGACCTTAAACCCACTGTTGGAGCTTTGAGGGAACATTTACACTGTTTGTACCTTGCTGAGTGAAAAATGAACCTGCACAGAACCTTCATTTCTGACAGTGTAAGGAGTGTCTTGATTCTTGTTGAGATAGAGGGGTAGGGTGAAGTGTTAGAGCTACATGGTCCTCCAGACAGAGTGATATGAGAAAAAAAGAAAAACGGGCAAGACGGCTGAACAAGAGACCAAAGAAACCCGCAAATGTGAGAATTTTCTCAGTCAAAAAATTACGATAACCACTGTTTTATCTTAGTTTAATGTAATTTCAGTGTATTATGATCGTTTTCTTAATAACAAGCATGAAAAATCACTAATAGTAAGCTAATGTCTCAGTAGCTAGCTGGCTAAATTACCCGTTCCACCTTAAATAGTCCAGCAGTTCTGACACCTGAAGCGCCAGAATGTAACTGCTGCACCATTTAAGGTGGAACGGGAAAATTAGAACAAAGCTGATGAATATCTGACTTCAGCTTCATATCACTGAAGAATTAGTGGTGGGTGATAATAATTGCCCCCCTCTTTGAAGGCATATGATGCCCTAAATGTAACTAAAGCCCAACAGTGAGGAGCTGAACTTCACCCTCCTCTGCTGTCACTGCAGACTGGCAGGGTCGCCTACAGAGCAGCGCTGGTAGCTGTAAATGAAGTGATGCTCTTTTTATCTGAGGGTCTCATTTCAGAGGGAAGAATTCAATCAGTACCCCTTGTAACTCAGTTCCAAGGGGTTAGGGTAAAAATAAGAAATGGGATTGGGCCTAAATCCTATGTGTCAAACACAAGGCCTGCGGGCCAAGTCAGGCCTGTGGCACGATCCTATTCGGCCTGCGAAATTATTTTAGTTTTCTATTGATATTAGCCTGTTTCACCATGAGCTGCACTACAGTTCCCAGCACGCACTGCAACATAATATACCCTGTTTTACAGGCCAGCGGTTACATACACACGAAAAAAATACCCAGTGTCTAGTTCAAGCAAATAGGCGGGGCATTAAAGAAGTTTAACTGTCAAAGTTATCTGTAGATAATGCAGCCTATTGTTTTATATAAAAGTTTTTTTTTTTTTTTAAATCACCTTTGAATTGTTCAAGTATTCAGTGCCTATTTTGCTGATGAAGTTTTTCTATTTTTTTCAGTAAACAGTGACTAGTTCGGGTAAAAATGAAATAAAACCACAGACGGAGATGTTGAGATTTTTTAATATGGCCCTTTTAATGGTTTGACACCCCTGATCTAAATGGTAACTTTACCGGAGAAACAAAAACGTTCATAACTTTTAAATGGAAATCTCAGTTTGTAGAAAATGATCAGTTTAAATTGCTGTTTCAATATTAGTCAGAAAATTGCAATTAAATATTTCGCCCAAACCGTTTAGCCCTACTGGAGAAAATGACCGATAGCATGTAAAGCTGGCAAAGGGGGCCACTTTGAATAATCTGCGATACAGGATCGTTTTGATTTGTTAATCTTTTAAGAATCTATTTGTCGTGGCGTTATTCCATATGCATAAAGGAGTAAAAATAAGAAACATTTTAGGTAGATGCCTCCGGACCTCCAGATGCCTCAAACGATATGTATTCTGTAGACGTGCTTCCGCATGAAATCCACACATTGATTCATCTCCTGCCTTCTTCCTATACAATCACGTAACCTTTGTGGCCTTTTATAGCCCTGCAGTGATCCTTAGCTAAACTGTTTCCGCAGAGTCACAGAGGAAGTCACCTCCCAGCTTCTGAAAAGCGCCAATAACTGCATCGAAAGGGACGGTATCCTGGCAACCAGGCTGTGCACACACAAGGACGACGTGGAGCTCACTAATGAGAACAAACTCAAGCAGTTGCCAGGTTTGCCCCATCCGCAGGCAGCGCACACAAACATCTCCTCGTTTCTGGTGTTGATAATCCATGACGTCACTAAATTCTAAGTATAGTACTGTAAATTCGGTCAGGTGTGATGGCGATTGTGTGCCCTGGTTACCTTAAACCCTGGAAACTCTTCCTGCTGGAGATGTTCCATTCATTAAACAGGAAGTCAGAAGTGGTTCTGAGGCGTTCACACTGCGGTAGACTTGTGTGGTCAAGCACATCAGTTTTTGCAAGTTCAAAAAGACTTCGTATATAAGCTTACATGCGTATTCCCATGCGCTGTTGAGGATGGAGGTGGGCAGTATAGCAAATATAGAATCACAGTACAATATGACTTTGATTTGACAATATGTATCCTCATATTTAGCTTTTCTGAAATCTGTGAATGTTTGAATAGAAATCATATTTTTTTTACAGAGCACATTAAAATGGTGGTGTACATAAAATCTTAATTATATTTTCTAAATGTTTTAGTTAAATATATGTGTGTGTGTGTGTGTGTGTGTATATGTACACACACAAAATTATTTATATAAATGATATATATAATCTTATTTTTTAATTATTATTAATTTTTTTTTGTTTTTTTTTGAAAACTAAAGTGCATAGAGAAAGAGTTTTAAAACGAAGTGCTTGGGGGGGCTAGTAGAACAAAATAAATAATACTACTAACAAAACAGGGGTGGGTGATATGCCTGTTTTATTGTGTTACACCACAATGTGCCCTAAGAACACTGACTAACTGCATGTTTCATTACAAAGAGAGCATAATTAGTTCTGGTTCACTGGATTAGTGCAGTGTGTGAAATGTTGTTGTATAAATCTCATTGCATCATAGTTTTAAATTTTTGGTAGTCCACCTCAGTCTTAGAAGTTGGTTTTATTTTTTTGCTTCTCACTATCCAAATAATCACAGAAAATTAAAGTGAATCTGGACGCTGGGGTGGTCAGTTCTTTGTTTTGAGAACAGCAGCAGCTGCTTTGTTCAGTAAGAGCTTCTTGACGGCTACACATCCTTTCAGACCCATAGCATTGAGGAGTATAGAGTCCCATTTTCTGTCGCTTTTAATCATTTTTTTTGACGTGTGGGTAATGCAAGAGATTAGACATGTCTCCAAAGATTGAATAATTTGTGCTGAATAGCTATTTTCACTATAAAAAACAGCTGTTTATATGAATATATGGGTGGTCTCTCAGTTTTGCACAGTACTGTATGAATTTATTTGTCTGTATATCACTGTGCTTCTGTCTGGCATGAATTCTAGGGCCTTTGCGAGTGTTTGAGGCTGTGGACAGTGACCCTATGTTGGTTAGGACCATTGATGCACAGAGTCCAGTGGGGGCAGTATTACAGCTTAAAGTTGGAGCCCAGGTAGGAGCTCAGTTATCCCTGACTTTCACTATAGTCTAATCTTTAATGTTCAAAGAACTAAATAACAAGGTTTTTAATTTGTTCAGGTTATGTTAACCAAGAATCTGGACGTCCAGAGAGGCCTTGTGAACGGCGCAAGAGGAGTTGTGGTTGACTTCTTACCTGGAAACCAAGGTATTGTTGAATGTCTTTGTTGGTAGCATTTTATTTCAAGATCCTCAAAAAAAGTTCCTTTTGTCTGGATTTCAGTGCTGCTTGTATTCAAGTTCCAATCACAAATAAAAATGTGGTCACTTACTTTGATAATCCCCTGTGGTTTACTACAAATACACAAGTTTGTACTGGGCTTTATCTCCATCCCAACATATGCTGTAGGCCTAAACCATAGATATTCATATCTAGATGCCGTGTTGTCTGTTGTTCTCTATCTGAGGCGATACGTCTGCGCGTCCACCATGTTGGAGAGGTCAAGATCCGCTTGTGAATAAATCCGCTTGTATTGAGAGACGATGAGTCTCAGGATTAAATCAGCCACAACTTCATTATTACTCAACCGATTTTCACCAAATCTGTTTTGTTATAATCCTCAGACACAGATTAATCTATGCTGTACGGATCTGCGCTCGGTAGCTTTTACTTCTTTAATAATATCTGATCGTGATAATTAGCCATCCGGACCAGCAGGAAAGTATTCAGTCTGCACCTGATGTGAGTTTAGCGCTCCGGTAAAAACACAATCAGCAAATCCATCAATGTGTGAATCACCTGTAGTCTTATTACACAGAAGGACGAGGCTAAAGTTGGCTTCCTATTCGCCAGCTTCTTGTTCGAGTTTTCCTGTTCCACCTTAAATGGTGCAGCGGTCACTTTCTGGTGCCTGAAGCTGCACCATTTAAGGTGGAACGGGGAAATGCAAACAAGAAGCTGGTAAATAAGAACCTAACTTCAGGTTGTATAATAAAGTGCTAATCTATTTTAAATATCTACATGGATTAAGGAGTGTAAGGACTATTAAATGAAATAAGCTTAATATAAAACCAGAGGAAAAACAATCACATCAACAGGTTCTCTGAGCCTCATTAACCACACGACCATATCTACACATAAACACCACACAGACATGAGTGTGGATCACTGCGTTCCCTCCGTTATATAATCCTATCCCACTTTCTGAGAGTGATATTCTTGAAATGGTGTAATTTTGGACAGTATCTTTCTTAAACTGCTGCTCTGTAATGGTGCTGAATGGTACAGTCCAGTAGCGACGTTGACATGCCTGACTGGACCCAACGTGGCATCTAGGTATGTATATTTATGGCCTAAACTGCTACAGGGCAGGTTAAGTTTGGGATTTTGAATCATAAACTGCTCCTGGATCTTGGGGCTATTTAGTTTCACCGGTTAAGATTTACAGGCTCACTGTACGTTCAATAAACATGGCTACACTTTCTATGAATGTGCAACATCAGCCAAATTTGCAAATTTGTAACTGTAATCCCTGATTTCGCTACTATGTAGATATTCATAAAAAGGAATTACTACTCCAGTAAGCACTAAAACAATGGCTACAACATTTCTTTTTTATAGTTACAAATCATCGCTGTCTAAAGAAAAACATGTTTCTCTAAAATAGCAACTTTACAGGAGAAGGCAAAAATATTAACTTTTTCAGTGTAAAGAAATTTTATTAGAAAGTGACTTTGAAGCATTTCTGATCATCCATTAATCATGGAATTTTCACACAATGTAAAGGACAGTTGGTGTGTTTATGTACAAAAATCAGTGACAAAATGCTTTTCTTTCTACTAAAGGTGTAACAATCTGCCAAAATTCAGACATTTAACAATTGATTGGTGTCTCAATTCAATACAACTTCAATACAGTGAAATTAAGGAGTAGCTGAAAATGTTTTAGAGCATTCAACAGCAGTAAAAATACATTATTTGAAACCAGCGTCCCAGTGCATGCTGAGTAATGTAATGAGGGAACACTGATGGACAAAAACACAGCAGCTACAAAATTGTAAATATACATTACGTAACATGACAAGGTATTAAATGCTAGTTTTAGGCTGGAATGGCCCTGTTAAAGGAGAAGAGTAGGTGAAGTGGAAGAAACAGGGTTGGACACTAAAGGGCTCATTGACTCTCATCAATTCCATCTTTTGGTTCACACATTTCTCTGAATTTGCTTCTCCTCTGACTCTCTGGCAGGCCTCCCCCGTGTGCGTTTCCTGTGTGGTGCTGTGGAGGTGATGAAGCGCGAGCGGTGGATGTTTAAGGCGGGAGGAGGGCTGTACCTGAGCCGGCAGCAGCTTCCACTAAAACTGGCCTGGGCCATCTCCATCCATAAGAGTCAAGTAAGCCTACAGCACAGCTCACACTCACTGTGTGTGTGTGTGTGTGTGTGTGTGTGTTTTACTGTAGTTTGTACAACAGTTAGTTCCGGCCACGCAGATTGGTTGGGAAGCGCTCTAACTGTGCTGTTATTTCGCCATAACATCACGTTTTTTTCACTGTATCACTCCGCTGAGACGCTGTTGCTAAGCAACGACCTTGACAGCTGTAAGGAGACGCTCAAGACATTTGAACGTTTGAACAGAAAATGGACACTTAAGATCACATTAGACCGACGGCCGATTTGGTCAGACTCTGAAGATGAGACGACACTAAATTCCCAAACTGTCATCACCACTGAGCAGCTTTTCAGTCGGCAGCTGTGACAGAAGAACAGCTAAACAACCTGGAATCAGCCAGAAATGAACCCAATACCATTCGCCAAACGTGTAGTCTGATCTTCAGAGTCTGACCAAATTAGACTGAGCCACAAAACTGCCACAATATCAGGTTCAGCTCAGTTTTGTCAGTTTTTGCCAGATCAGTATTAATGTTGTTTTGTTCCAGCCAGTCTGTAAAGCATCTCACAGCCCATTTAGTTTGGCGAATGGTGTTGGGTTCATTTCTGGCTGATTCCAGGTTGTTTAGCTGTTCTTCTGTCACAGCTGCCGACTGAAGAGCTGCTCAGTGGTGATGACAGTTTGGGAATTTAGTGTGAGGAGCTGGAGAACGAACTGCCGGCTGTGCAGCGAGTGGGCGGAGCTCGTTACTCTGACGTAGCAACAAGCTGCTCGTTAAGGAACTATAATTTGGCAGAAGGAACTGCGAACATTAAAACATATTAAACGCCGCGTTCACGGCCCAGTTTATTAATTTATTACTGTATTTATTTAACTGTTGTATAAAAGCAGTAGAACACTCGAGGAGTGCGTTAACACACTCATGATAAAACACTCCCTCTCGTGTTCTATTGCTTAATTATCATTTTAGAATGTTGGGTGGTTTGATGAAAAACTGTAAGACACACTTTTCTTACATTAAATACACACACACACACACACACACACACACACACACACAACTTTATTTTTTTATCAGCTAACATTGCTGCTAGGAAGCCAAATATCAAGATTACATGACTAAGGAGTGAAGAGATCATGGTGACGTTTTTATTTTCGCGTATACTGATTTTTCTTCAGTATCTTTTGAACAGCTGGCAAAAATTTAAACATGTGTAAATAGTCATTGTTGGCAAATAAGACAGTCAGCTGCTGTTTAGTTGCATCTGAAATTGATAAACACATTTACGTCTGAGGACTGTAACTGCTAAGAGAGCTAAACCACCCTTTACAACCTGTGTGTCAAACACAAGGCCCGCGAGCCAAGTCAGGCCTGTGACACAGTCCTGTTCAGCCCGCAAAATTATTTTAAATTTTTATTAATATTAGACCATTTCACCCTGTGCTGCACTACAGTTCCCAGCATGCACTGTAATGTAACATGTGCTCCCACCCCTTCCCCAACAACTATCTATGGGACCAGTTCAAGCAAATGGGCAGTTTTAAAAACCCTACTGTACACTGGGGACATTAAAGAAGTTTAAGAGTTATGTGCAGTTAATAGTCTAATGTTTTGTACCAAACAATTTGTTTTTAATTATTTTTTTTAATCGTTCAAGAATTCAATTTTGTAGTTTTAGCATAAACAGTAGCCAGTTGGGGTCGTGGCAAAATGTTAAGTAAAAATAAAGTAAAAACACAGCTGGCCCACAAAGTTGTTGTTTTTTCAATATGGCCCTTTTTAGTGGTCGAGTTCGACACCACTGCTCTACAATGTACATTGCAAGTGGCGATCATCGGGGTCCAAGCACTACAGTCCTTATGGAGCCAGTACAGCACACATAATGACCAAAGTTTCTAGAACTACCTTGATCTACAATAGATGTGTGGGCTATAAAGGAGATCTGTACACACTGATCTTTTGATCTTGGTGAGCAGATTCTCAACAAATAAACCAGAATGTTTGGACAACTGTACAGTATTTGTAGCTAGGAAGGTACCTACCTACCTACCTGTCTAGATATTTTACCTCAGTTTTGCTTCTTTTCTCTGGCTGAAAGGGTTAAAATCTTGTCCATTGTGTGCTGAATAAAGATAGAATTGCTCTTTTCTTTGCGACTGTGTTCGGTGACTCGGGTAAGAGTTACCCTAATGCTAGCTTTGTTGCATTTATTAGCCTATAGATGGCTAGGCTAGCAGTCAGGATTGCTCAGTGCTTCCCAGTGGTTGTATGATGTATTTGCCTAATGCATGCTGGGTATTGTAGTGAGAGAATGTTGACGAATGAAAGCATAAATGCAGTTGAGGGATTTAATACTACAGAATACAGCATAACACAACAAATGACATGAAACGCTAGTTTTGGGCAGCTTTAAAATAACAAACCGTGCAAGCAGGGAGAATTTCATTAGTCTTCTCTGTAATCAGAGACACTGAAAAGAATGGAAACCAAATGAATATACACACAAGTCATCGCTTATTGAGAAACTGAGGTAATTACGCCTTTCATTCTACAACTGTAATGGTTTTAATGATGGCACTGCTGTCTACAATGTCTTAAATCGCTGTTGCTTTGGCGGATGAGTGTAATGTGAGCTCATCTGTTCTGTGATTCATCTTAAATAAAAACTAATCTAGGTTAGTCAGTGACTGTCTTTTAAATCACTCCTACAGCGTCTGATAACTCTTTTTCTGACGTCTTTAATTTGCATTTTGGGTTTTGGAAAATAAGAATATTCTGATGCTGCTGGAAGCCACCCCAGTCATAAGCCTGCTGTGGGCTTAGTGCATTGATGGGCCTCTTGCATCCACCATTCAGCTCTGTATCAACGCTGCTAATGGTTTTCCATTAGAGCCGTCTGTAAACGTGGCTTGGCGTAATCAAGCTTATCAGTTATTAAGGTAGAGATTAAAGTGATGATGCCTGTTTTTGATCTGTTGGCCTTGTTCAGAGGAGGCAGATGGAAAAAACTGTTTGAAGTTGATTTGTGCTGCAGGATGTAGGGCAGTGAGGTCACTCAGCACAATACAGCAGTATTGATTTTCTTTTTAGGCAGTGCTGTTTTCAGAGTGGGCGAGCTGTGAGGAGGGGTGGGCAATTATCATACTATTATCACACCAGGCTTTTCTAGCTATCAGCTACTTGAACACGGAACAGCTGCATGTTTCATTTACAACTTGACTTAAAAGGAAAATCATAATGCATTCTGATTTTGGGGCAAAAGTCATTACAATTTAATGGGACGTTACAGGAAACAAGGAACTTTATCTTTTTAAATTATATGATGTAATGAATTATGCTTAATATAACCAGGGACATGAAATAAAGGGGTAAAAAAGGTCAGTTTTGATTTAAGGTTGACTTTAAAAGGTTTATAAGAGGCACCTGAGCGTAGAATTGGATGTAGTAATATTTACCATATGAAATGTCAAAAAAAAATTACATATACTTTTTTCTTCGTTGCTGTGTGTGTTCTAACTTATAAAACCCAGGATAAACATTTCTTTATTTGTAGTTAAAAATATATCGGTTAGTATTCGTACTAACAATTATAACAGTAAACCTCTTAAATAAAATTTTTAAACAGGCCAAAATAAGAAATCAAAAAAGCTTAGCTGAACAATAAAAATTGTGGATAAAAACACCGGAAAAATGCATATTGTATGCATATTGTATACCATAAGTTGGTGTATTAATCAGACTGTTTATCAGAGAGCAGCAGAATTTGAAATATGCATATCATCTAATAATGCAAATGCAGTAAATTTAATAATAGCTTATTGAGTTTTCATATTTACTGTATTTGCAACTGTTTTTATTCATTAAAATGAATACATTTCCAATATTTTAGCATAATAGACTATCACTTTAACATTCTGCTCTCCAGGAATACAATAAAAGCATCATCTAATATTGATCTGATCTGTGCTCTGGTCTGATGCAGTACTTGGGGGTGTTTGTGTATATATAAACTGAGAGTTTAGAACTGGAACTGATTGGCTGAGCTGCGTTCAAAGCTGTTCTAAGTCCACGATATATGCACACCTATGACCGCCTCACAACTGAAATGTGTATTACTACGCCATGGCACAAAAAAACAAAACAAAAAACAAACAAAAAAACGTGCTGAACTGGGCTGGTCAGCTAGCTAACAGGCTAAACAGCTCCATCATTAATATCACAGGCTTGAATTAAAGTACTTACAGTGGATTAACTGCAAAACTGCAGTATAAAAGTCTTAATGTCACTTGAACGTCTTACATAATTCAAATGTTCGTGTTTAGTCCGAAGTCTCGTCAAACCCAGACTGAATCTCAAACGGCTCAAACGGCTGTGTGGATGTTTCTGAATCCCAAATGACTGTTTCTTAGCTGTATTTTGCTCTGTTGGGCTGCAGGATCCAGTATTTAAGCTCCTATGTAGTGAGGGAGCAGGGAGCTGTTTGAGATTCAGCCCCAGCGTGAGAAGAGGGCACCACTGGAATGGTGCTAAATGAGACTCGCGGTGGTGATTTAGTGACCAAAAAGTCCTTATAAAGCGAAGGTTTTTGATTTAAACAGTGCTGTTATCATATGTATCATATCAAAAAGTGAAAACATTCATGAAATGACCGTAATATTATTGTCTATAAAGTAACAAACTGTAAAACCTTGTTAAGTAATTAACAAGGTTAATGGTTTTCTTGTTAATTCTCTCATTGTTACTTATTCACTTTTTCTTGAGTGCCTTGTTCTCCCTTTACTACTTTAACACTGAGAATTTCCCTGTTGTGGAACTAATGAAGGATTCTTATCTTATCGTGCACAGCGATGAGCGACCAAACGTTCTCCTCATTCAGCGGTCCATGGTTGCTTGGCAAAAACACCGTACTATAAAGGAGCTACAATTCTTGGTGGAATACTTGTTTGTCAATTATTGTTATTTATTATTATTAATTATTTAAATTATTGTTAATAATAACAAATAATTTTCTGAAAAATGTGTATTTTATCATATTTTATGTTGGCCGTCGTTTTAGGGAAGGGAGTTTTAAGAACACCCTTCCCGTGATTAATAATAACAGTAATGCATGGCCTCTTGTGGCTTATTGCTCATCATATATATATAATGTATGTGTATGTATATATTGTATGTATATGTGTGTGTGTGTGTGTATATGTATATATGTATATATGTGTGTGTATATATGTATGTGTATATATATGTATATATTGTATGTGTGTGTAGTATGTATATATATATATATATATGTATATATATATATATATATATATAATGCATGTATATGTAAAAAAATCTTTTTTTTTTTATTTTTTTTTATGAAATTGTGATGGACCTCATCATATATAATACATATTTATGTGCATATTGCCATGTTTGCATACCCCTTATGAGCCTGTATGTTTTGTGCTTGTTTTCAGGGAATGACTTTGGACTGTGTGGAGATCTCCCTGGCTCGAGTCTTTGAGAGCGGTCAGGCCTACGTGGCTTTATCTCGAGCACGGAGTTTGGAAGGGCTTCGAGTGATGGACTTCGATCCACGAGTGGTCCAGGCCAACCTGGACGTGCTGCTGTTTTATAAGAAGCTGAGGAAAGAGAGGCTGCTCATGCAGGTCAGTGCCACCTTGACTTACCGCTCAGATTGGCAGCTTTGACCAGCGCCCTTTGCTGTTCCAGACTGAGAGATTGCCTCAATTTGACAAAGTAAATCTACATCCCTCTACATCGCTAAAGGAACCGAGCTCTTTGAGGAACAGTAAGATGGATCGCCACGCGCGTCACTTGACTTAATTCAGCATTTAGAACGACCCGTTTTATTGGCACTAAATATTGATTTTCCAGGATGTTTCATTTCTCCATCTGTAATACCTTTAATATGTCTCTGCCTAAAAAGGTTAAAATATCTCTGATGGATGTGAGGCTTTTTTTCTGAAAAGTATTCAGCATGACGCATATTCGTTTTAGGCAACTAAAAAGTTATTCTTCCATCTCACTTGGCTTTTTAATCTTTTACAGTCCTCCATCAACGACTTTGTAGGAAGAAGCAACAAGGAGAATGAAGCTTGGTGAGGAAACTTCGTGTCCTAATGTGACTGTGCACTGTGTGCATGACCTTTTTCCCCCTTTTTTAATTAATTTATCATGTCTCCTTATTTCCCATTTGACAACACGGTCATGGGGGAGGATCAAGTTTTATTTGTCTCTTTTACACTGTTTTATTTAATAAAGTTGTTCTAAACAGTCTTTCACAGTCCATTCACTCATTTTCACTCTGGGTACCGTCATGTGGAAGTTTTATTCCGCACTAATGTTTGCACTTGAACTGTGATTTAATTTAAAAGTATTTCTAGCTTGGATAACTTTGCGCAAATGTTTGGGCACCGCTGGTCAAATAACATTTCATTTTCTAAGCAAAAATAAGAAAACACACCCTCTACAAGAAACACACTTCTGCAAAGTGTAATGCACAATTATGATTTATTTGCTACATTTAACATATTAACTCATAAAATATGGCATGTGCACAAGTTTAGCTACATTTTGTTTTACTCTGCACACATTTCTCACAGTGCACACTGCAGCACAGCACTTTATTAGCTGTACTGTACTTTAAAAAAAAACTATACAGCATCTTAAGTTATAAGTTAAAATAGAAATGCTGCATATTTATCAACATTCTTGCATAATTCAGTGTGAGACTTAACGTCATTCAAAGAGGTTTGATGTGAAAATACAGATGTCTTTACAGTGGTGGTGATGGGAACCAGGGGTCGCCATGACTACAACACAAATATAGACATTTTATTTACTATCCAGAACCACCAGTGAACCTACATGAGTCTTCTGAGTTTATATAGAATGATGATGGTAAAATAGTGATAAATCTGACTATTTTGCCTCATATATTTTGTCCCTGCATGTAAAATGATTTGGCCAAAACCTTCGCAAAACTATCATAAACGGTGTCTCAGACATCAGAATGCGTATTGATAACCATTTCTTGTAATAACTTCTTGTGAGGGAGCTGTTAGAGATGGACGCCTGGTTCCTATCACCACCACTGTGAACAATTCTGAGTCATTCTGCACTGATAGTGTTCTTTTTTTTTGTTTTTTTTTGGAAAGACATTCTTGTCTTGATTGCACTACCAAGCTAGAATCAGCTCTTTTCTTCTGGCTAATGTGAGGCATTATAGAAAGCCAGCCAATCAAAACTCCAGAGTCGAGACAGTGGGGAGTGGGGTCTCTGCTGCTGTATCAAACCTTCCTCCACCATGAATACTGGATGCAGTCAGAAATCAGTGCAGTGGTGAAATGGGACCAGATGCTCTTGTTAAATGCTTCTGCTGGAATATTGAGTAGTGCTGCCACCCGGTGGGAGTTCAGTGTTATTACACAGAGATCTTGGGGGGATTTAAACACTAAAAACTTCAGTGTCCTCAGGGAGAGCTTGATGTTTTGATTACTCTCAGTTACCCTGTGATTTTAAGCCTGTCACGATCATGAAATATCAAATTGGAATATAAAAATAATTGCAATTAACAATTTTAATTGTTTTGATATTTATTTGTATGTAAGTAACTATTACAGTACAACAACGGTGTCCAAACCTTTTTTTTTTTAAGAGGGCCAGATCTTACTGTCTCAAAATACCTGAGGGCTGAATTATTATCCACAAATTTAAAATGTTAAGTTTTCAAAATATCAGCGCATAAAATCTGAGCTTTGTGAGCTACTGTGTTTCCTATCACTGTAAAAATGCAGAAAAAGCTGCACGAGGCTTCTTTTATTGCTGGATTGCTCAGAGCAGTCTGGATTGGTAAATGCTTATAACAGATTGTTTAAGAGTAACACTATTACACGTTCTAAGTTATTAAGTATATCTCTATTTAAATGAGTACCTGCTCAAAAATATAATTTGTGGGACAAATTAAACAAAAATCTATACATTTTTGGTTGTGTAACATAATATTCTTTACGTATCAAATAAATGCAGCAACCGCATTTAGAAATCTACAGGATTTATACTGGATGCTGGTGACATCCTGTGTAAATAAAAATAATGCATGGCCACGACTTAGTAAGGAGTGGGAACAAGATCCTATGCGTGAAATGAGAATTAAGTTGTGGCCACGACTTAGTAAGGCAAGATCTTGTTCCCATGCCTTACTAAGTTGTGGCCACAACTTAATTCTCATTTCCATGCATAGGATCTCTTTCCCGTGCCTTACTAAGTCATGGCCATGCATAGGATCTCGTTCCCATGCCTTACCAAGTCGTGGCCACAATTTAATTCTCATTTCCACGCATTAGGATCTCGTTCCCATGCCTTACTAAGTCGTGGCCACGCATAGAATCTCGTTCCCATGCCTTACTAAGTCATGGCCACCACTTAATTATCTTGTTCCCATGCCTTACTAGGTTTTAGCCATGCAATAATTTTATTTATGCAGGATGTCACCAGCGGGGCAAATCACTTTATTTATTCATGAGAAGAGCAGATTAAACAGCAGAAATATCCAAGTTTTTGTTCCATCGTAAAGGGTTAATATTTACTGAACTATGGAGCCCTGCTGGTGACATCCCTTGTAAATAAAAATAACAGGTGGCCATGACTTAGTAAGACGTGGGACTTTTTAAGGCATGATCTTACTAAGTCGTGGCCACAACTTATTTGTATTTATATGGGATGTCACCAGCAGGGCTCCGTACTGAACTGCTGAATTTGCTCTGTTAAGAAGTTGCTGTGAGACTCGAGGAGCTGCAGCTGTTTTAGTTTCTCTCCTGAATACTTACTGAAATGTTCATGCTGTGTTTCATATCTATTGATATTCATTACAGTCTATTGAAATATGAGGCACACGCAGTTCTGAGTGTTGAGCTTGAGCTTTATGGCTGCAGTCTGGACTAAATGTCTGTCAGTAAATGAAGCTGCAGGTCTAGTCAGAGTAATTTTACTGCATTGCTGCCACCATCAGGTAAAAGGAGGAACTGCAGCATACCAGCTGGCCAGTCACTTATAGCACACTCTAAGACAGCAGCCAGGGGTCAATTAAAATCTGTCCGCAGGCCGCATTTGGCCCTGGGGCCGAACTTTGGATGTCCCTGCAGTACAAGCTTAAAGTGGCCAAACTAGCTGATTAGCTGTCTTAGCTTCCCAGCTGTTGACATTCAGTAGCTCCCAACTGAAGACAGAAATAGCTCAAATTAACAAACGTCACTCACCGCTGCCCCCTAAAGTTAACAAACATCAAATTAACAATTATCACTCACTAAAGTCCTCTGAAGGTGTTACAGCTCCAGTTAGAATATAAGACTTTTGTTGTTTTTGTCAGACAGCTCTGCTTTGTTTCACCTGCATTTACTTCAAGCCACTGGATGAAAACACACCTAATTCACTTTCTGTTAGTGGCGACAAACAAACGATTGTGAAAGGTAACTGTGATCGGGACCGGATTCATGAAAGTGTCTTAAGAAAATCTTAAATGTGTTTCTTTTTTTTTTTCTTACCTTTTATTCTTAAGAAAACAGTTATGAGAAACTGTTATTCTTCAAACAACTTCTTAAGAATTCAAATTTTTTTCTTAATATTCTCAAAAATACCACTTCTTAGAATTATTCTTAAGAAAACAGTTGTTTCTAAATGTTTTCTTAACCTTACGACAGCCTCACACTTGTTTTAGGCTGTAGGAGTTGACAAGTTAAGCACCTAAATTTATCACAGTCCTCGTCCGTCACCCAATTATCACATTTTCTGAGGAGGATTTTTTTTCCTGTTGGCTGTTTCTTCCTCCATCACCTCAAGATCTTGTTTGCTAAAATTTTTTAAATGCATGGTTTGACGTCTTTCCTCCGTTTTGCTCCTCTGACTAAACAGAAATAACAGTTAATTAAAATTCGAAATGTATCTTGTCATTTATGGTACCCTGTAAAATGCTGCGTAGCCTACATAAGAAAAACAATGACTATTTTCTTTAAAAAAAAATGATCTTAACTTAAATTCTCAAATATCCACTTTTCTTTTTCCAGAATTGAATTTAAGAACCTTCTTACAAACTTCTTAGTGTTCATCTTCAGAACATTTGCAAGCTTTTGTGAATCCGGCCCCAGGTGATCAGTAATTGTGACAGGCCTACCTGTGATCGTTACATTACTAGTGATTATTTGTACTGGCTCAAAATTGTATTCATGCATGAATCTTTATGAGGTTGTATAAAACTATTTTTTTTTTCTTAAAGGGAATACAAGGGGTGTAAACTGTGGCAAATTCAGTCGCCAATGTGTTTAAATAAAGCCATTACACTCTTAGAAATAAAGGTACTAATCCGTCACTGGATCAGTTCCCCTCTTGTCACTGGGGTGGAACCCTCAAGGCTCCATCTCAGTGCCTTTAGTCAGGGAACATAACTGAACCATAATCCACTGAATGATATGTTCTAAGCTGTACTGACTCCACACACCCCGTCTCGTCTCCAGGCTTTTATTTTACTGTTCTGTTTTAAAACATTCGGTTATGAAAAGGTACAAATACGAACTTTTCACCTGGAAACACTTATTTAAGGTTCACAATCAGACCTTAAAACCACTGTTGGAGCTTTGAGGGAACATTTACACTGTTTGTACCTTGATGAACGAAAAACGTACCTGAACAGAACCTTTATTAATAACAGTGTACTTGTAATCTTTATGGCTAATGATCAGCTGGAGAAAGAAAAGACACTAAAACATGTTTACACAATGTCCATACATATTTATTCGCAATAACATGTAAACAAAGAGATGTAGCTAAAGTCTCTGATGACGTAGCCCTGTACGTTAGTGTGGTTAAATATAGACTTCATGACTGGAATCTGTGGAGTGGTGAGGTAGTGTGTAGATCACTTCAATGAGGTGAAGACCTTGTGTGCAACCTGGAAGCACAAAGAAATGATCTATTTATTATCAAAAACAAGTGCAAGAGCTCTGCGCCAATAAAATCTTAAATACTTCAGGTCCTGTTTACACCTGAGAATCACATGCGTCAATCGATCCAATCATAAGTGGACAGCGTTAAGTACAGGTATGAATGGGTTTCAATCACACTAGCCATGCTTACATGCAGTCTAATAATCCATTAATAATCCAACTAATAGCTCAATCAGAATAGTCTGATCCGATTGAGACCATTCGGAATACAGTCTCTATCCGATTGATCGAGGTGGGTAATCCTGTAAATAATCCGTTAAATAGGAGAATAATATCCGTGTAAACGCCTGTATCTGATTACATTCCCTATCGGAAAGTTTAAGTCCGTTCTGATCATGTTCGTTGCGTCATAGTGAGAGTTTATACCGTTCAACATGGCGGAGCAGAAACTGGTCTGCAGAGGAGACGAAGTTTATGCTCTGATCTTTAAAAGACGGCGGTGGGACGGACGTCCGGCTTATGTGTCTCAGAACACGACGTCTTCCTCTCAGCCTTCTTTAATAAGGACGTGAAGGACGTTTTCCTGAGTCTGACATCATTTTAAAGCAGTTAAAAACACAAGCGCTGCTCACTGCTGCTCATCTCCCTCTCACTTGACTCACGTGATGCTGGTTGTCATGGTAACGTCTACACTAAGTGGGTCTCTACGTGTGCAAATAATTCTGGATCAGATTACTTGTAGTGATGGTAAACAGAGATTTTCATCAGATTGTTGAGTAGAGTGAGAATAAACACCTCAGTCTTCTGTAATCGGAACGTATTCAATCGGATTGGCAAAAATCTTTGCATGTAAACACAGCCACTGTGATCCGATCACTCAGGCTATCTTCGGAAGAGGTCAGATATGCATATGACCAAATAACACTGTAGTGTGAACACTAAAGTCTCCAACAGCAACGAAGGACCATCCAATCAGGTCTGTTATCACAGCAGAGACAAATTCCAGGGTCATTACTGTTTACAAAAACTAAATGGTGAAAATGTACTGATTAACTGTAATAAAAATAATTTAAAACATGAAAACCAAATTAAAACTATAATATCCACTGAAACAAGAATGAAAAGTAAGTGGCATTATGAAGAGAAATGTTTTCTTGGAAGTGGATCCCTTCTGTATCAAACGTTAAAGGGGAATTCCATTGATTTTTTTCCAAAAATATCTGCAAAATTAAATGAATAAGATGTAAACAGAGTCGTTCAGAGTGGTTTGGTGTGAAACGCTCTGTTCTAGAGGAACTTACTGAGTCAGAACTGTTCACAGTGGTGGTGATAGGAACCAGACGGCTGAAGGGTTTAATGCCTCCAGAAGCCCACAGAAAGTTATTACATTAAATCATTATGAATTACGAATTTGCTGCCTGATGTCTGAGACACTGTTTTATGATAGTTTTGAGAAAGTTTTCTCAAATTTTCCAGTTTCACCATCACCAACATTCCATATAAAACTCAGAAGTTCACTGGTGGTTTTGGATAGTAAATAAAATGTCTACATTTGTGGCGACCCCTGGTTCCGATCACCACCACTGTAAAGAAATCTAAGTCTCTACAATCAACCATTTCACACCAAACCACTCTTGAAAGTGAAATTTTGAAAAATGGGTGGCATTCCCCATTAACCACAGATTCTTGTAACATACAGGGAGATTCACTCGAAAGAGGCCCCAAATATTCTGTAATAACTCTCTCTAGGATGAAACATTCTGAACCAAACAATGTGCAATGTGCTCCTCAGAACAGAAAACGGAGATCACTTCCAGCATCGCATGTAATGCAATCGATTACACAGACATCGAGGTATGTAGTGTATTTTTTTGGTTCAGACTGCTTCATCCTGACAGGAGTTACAGCAGAATATTCGGGGCCTCTTTCGAGTGAATCTCCCTGTATTTCTGCACATAAGCCTATATGAAACACATTATAAGAAATGAACTGTGTTTACTCACGCAGTGGTCCCGTGCATGCAGGAAGTCGAAGAGCTCCTCTGTGCAGTCTTCTTCTGTGTGTGACCTCGAGCTAACCCGAGCTTCACAAGCCTCCAGCTTCTGTCGAGTGTAAACACAATGCTCTGTCTGCTCACACTTCTCTCGCACCGTTTCTAAGGGGTCCTGAAAAGAACACTTGCAGTCAATGCTGGAAAACAGTGAGAACCTGTATAACTGTGCTAAAGTCAGAGCTCCATTTATTTCATTTACAGTTAAAACAGCCATTTAGTACAAGCAGAAAACATTTAATGACTGAAGCCTCAACCAATAATTTTTTTTTTCAATATTATGTGAGTCACTCTTCACCTTTATTCCAGCTTCCATTCTTTTCAGGAGACTCACTTTCAGCTCCTCAAAGAATCTGCAGACACACCTCCAAAGTTCAGTCTTAGAAGCTGGTTGATGATTTTCTGAAGTAATCAAACACATTCAGTGGTGTTGAGGTCTGGACTCTGGGGTGGTCAGTCCATGGTTCAGCTTCTTTGTTTGATGTGTCCGTCTCCTTTTTTCAGTGAGGTTCTTCTTGACAGCTACACATCCTTTCAGAGCCACAGCGCTGAGTCGTCTTCTCACAGGGGAAGGATGGACAGAAACACCTGTGGATGTTTTCAGATCTGAAGCAGCTTGATTTTCTCCTCTCTCTCAGAGATGAAAGCTTTAAGTGCTGTTTATCTGATGGGGGCAGTTTTGGGGTTGACCAGGTCTTCCAGGTGGTTGTTAGGAGGCCCATTTTCTCTGTGGCTTTTGGAACTTCTGTTTTCCTTTGACTTTCTCCTTTCTTACCCGAGTGGATTATCTTAAATCTAAACTCCTCAGAAACATCTCCAAAATTACTAACTCGTACTCAATGGCTGTTTAAATAAATTAAGGTAAAATAAATGTGGGGTGATTTCTCACTTCTGCACAGTGCTGTATATGCTTCTGATACAACGGCCAGTAAGGCTTTAAGGTTGGGGAGGGAGCAGAACAGAGCATCCAGGTATTCACTGGCATTGATAACTTACCACCAGTTCCTCTTCCTCTTCTTCTTCCTCCTCTTCTTCCTCAGCTGGAGCATCAGTCTCCTACATAGGATTAAAAAAGTAGTATTATAATAATGCCCTCGTGTATAGCTGGGCAATATGACAATATTTTTCATTATCCTGATAAATTACATCACAAAATGCCTCAAAATGCTTTGCTGAGCATGTTGTGGGTATTAAAATGAGGCACAACACAGGACAGCCAAATCAGAACAGAGCCCGTTTAAATACAGTTGAGTGGAAAAGTCTCCGTCCGAGAATTTCCTATACCAGAGGTCTTCAAAATCTGGACCTTGAATCCAGTTTCCAGTCCTGGATTTTGTAATTACTGTCAGTTAACTAAACTGTTGATACAACTGAAAGGCCACCTAGTGTCGTCCCTTCCAGTGATTACATAATCTAGGAGTGGATCAGACACAGCAGTGCTAAAGTAGAGTCTTTAAACACTGGGTCCACTCAATGTCCACTCTATTAGATGCACCTGCGTTGTTGGTGCACCCTGTAGATGTGAAGTCAGAGACGATAGCTCATCTGCTGCTGCACAGTTTGTGTTGGTCATCCTCTAGTCCTTCATCAGTGGTCACAGGACGCTGCCGACAGGACGCTGTTGGCTGGATGTTTTTGGTTCTCAGTCCAGCAGCGACACTGAGGTGATTAAAAACTCCAGCAGCACTGCTGTGTCTGATCCACTCAGACCAGCGCAACACACACTAACACACCACCACCACATCAGTGTTACTGCAGTGCTGAGAATGACCCACCACCCAAATAGTACCTGCTCTGTGAGGGTCCATGGGGGTCCTGACCACTGAAGAACAGGGTAACAAAGTATGCAGAGAAACAGACGGACTACAGTCTGTAACTGTAGAACTACAGAGTGAAACTATGTGGTCAGTGGAGCTGATAAAAGGCCAGTGAGTGCAGAAACAGGGAGGTGGTTTTAATGTTATGAGTGAAAGGCATTAGGTCTCCAGGTGAAAGTGAACTAAAAAGATCACCACGTCGTTGTCACTGCCTGAAAAATCAGCTGAGGCTTCACAGCGGCTGTCAGGGGGAATAATCAGCTATGAAACATTAATAAGACCAAGATCACAAACAAACTGTCCCATTCACGAACCCTGAGCTCCCTGACTCCTCTCTAAGTCCCGTTTACCCTCCAGGACAGCTTTAACAGTCATACCTCGTCAGGCTCCCCTAAAGCGCCCGTTTCCCTCGTTTCCTCTTCTGAAACCATGTTTCACTGCACTTCAGAAGGTCCAGCTGCTGGCCTACAGGTCTCTCCGCAGCGCCGGGCCGGAGGTCACACGCAGGAAACTACTAGAAACTTACAGGAAGTAGATTTGCTTTGTTTGATTTTTCTTTTTTTGTCAGCCATGCACGGGGTTCAATGTACAGCTCCAATCACATCTGGAAACAATAACATACAAATAAAATATATATATATATATATATATATATATATATATATATATATATATATATAGAAGCTTTATTGGCCAGGTTTGCTTACACATACAAGGAATTTGGTTTTGGTTACAGGAGCTCACAGTGCACAGTATCAAACGTTTACATAGTAGTGAATAAAATAAAATAAATATAAAATAAAATTAAACATGCATTTCTACCATCATCACTCATACACACACAGTCATACCTGTAACCTTTACATTGTGCAAAGTATAGGTCTAAAGTTAAAGCGCTGAGTGCAGCATATATATATATATATATATATATATATATATATATATATATATATATATATATTATACAAAATTACGATTTTGATTTAAAAAAAAACTGAAAATAAAATAATAATAATATGCCCTGCGATGGACTGGCGACCTGTCCAGGGTGTATCCTGCCTACTGCCCAATGACAGCGGGGATAGGCTCCAGCACCCCACCGCGACCCAGAAGGATAAGCGGTTTAGATGATGAGTGTGTGTAAAATAATAATAAAAACGTTACTGGCGCATAAAGTCATACATGGATATCACCCGTGTTACTCAATGCAGTGCTTTAATAATTTCATGCAACAGAAATGTGATTATTTGTTTATTTCGTTTATTAAGAATACAAATTTGTGCACACAAAAACTTTCGACTTGTTAAAAGTCCTCTTTACCGCACTGAGTTCAGAGAGATTTTCTATGTGCTAGAGATTATTTACTTATTTATTTTATTGATATTTTTATTTTATTAATATATATTGTGTTTATTTAGAACATTTTAATTTTTAGAAGCACTTACAGTAGATTTTTAAGTAAATTAGTAAAAAAAATAATAAAATAAAATAAAAAAAGTCGAGAACATCAGTGAGATACTGAGAGACTTCGGGGCGGTATTCCGGCAGGTGGGGCAGTTATTGTAGCTGAAGTTATTTTAAATTTTATTTTCGTCTTAGTTCACAGTTTAATAGTTTGTGGCAGAATTTGTTTGTTGACTTGTTTACATAAACGCAGAGAGGAACCCGCAGCGCTGGGGACTTTTACTGGTGATACACATCGCTGAAACATGATGGCGGCGAACATCGGCCCGAGATTTCTCCTAAATAAAATCAGAGACTCGGTTTGTTTCGTCCAGCGGCGACACCGCGTTAAAACTAAATGGGTAAATATCTCTTATAAATGTCTATAGACCTGAAATCGAATAGGTGTTTTGACTACGAACAGCCCTGAGCTACAAACGCGAGGTGTGCGCTGTGTTCCAAATATCACCTGCCCACTGTTCCCTACACTGTAGTGCGCTAAAGAAGGGAGCGAAATCAAAGGGGAACTCCACCAAAATTTCAGTGTTTGAGACGTAAACAGTGATTGAGAATGGTTTGGTGTGAAATGGTTGATTGTAGAGACAATAATATTCAAATAGAGTTGATATGTTGACATATTAAAGTATTTCGTAATAATATGATAGCACAATAAATAGAGGTGGGTAATCCAGGTCCACAAAGTAAAAACCCTCCCCAGGATTTTGTTCCAACTGCTTGACTTCTCTAATTTGCTCAAACCAGCAGCAAAGGTGTTCAGGCAGTTGGAACAAAATCCTGGGGAGGGTTTTACTTTGTGGACCTGGATTACCCACCTCTATCTCTATTTATTATGCTATCATATTATTAGGTTTAATTATTGTGCTGCAGTACTTTAATATGTCAGCATACCAACACTATTTGAATATTATTGTCTCTACTATCAACCATTTCACACCAAACCATTCTGAATCACTGTTTACATCTCAAACACTGAATTTATGCAGAAATTTTGCACAAATGGTGGAGTTCCCCTTTAATTTAGCTCCCTTCTATAATAAATAATAAATAATAAGCTGTATTAAGATAATTTAGAATTTCTGTTTGTTATTTATGTATGTCGATAAACACAGGCGGCTATGTGGACAAGTGAAAGGTTAAGCCGTTTTTGTGCAATAAACAGACCACACTGTTTCCTTTTTCAGCACTACATTAACAATGGATAGCCATAGCACACATCCACCTTTAAATTGAGTATCGTTAAATGTCTTTAAATAACTTTTTAATTCATACGTATATGCTTTATTGGGAATTTTTATAATCACTCAGCAGCCAAACAAGCACTGTCTTACTGTGATCATGCATTTTCCCACCTCAAACAGCTTATGCTTTATTAAGGTGGAAAGTATGAGGTAGTTCAATCTCCTAGTTGTCATCGATGCAGCGTTCACTCTGCAGGACAGTAGATCTGAAACAGGAGGGCTGGTGACCGCAGTGCTTGAGTATATCGCTGCTGCCGGAAGAAAACCTTGTATCTCCATTTTTGTCGTTTTTCAGTTTTTGACATAATTTGAAAATGCCTGTTGTCCTTTACTTGGTGTGTAAATTTCACGATGAATGGATCAAGAGAAACAGCCCAAAATGACTTGGTAAAAATTCTGGTTCCATTGACTTGCATTAAAAGTGGAGTATGTTTTTTCCTTCTCCTGTAAAGTTACTATTTTGGAGATAAGAGATTTTCTTCCGACAACAGCGATGTATCTCTAGTGATGACAAAATCCCATATTGTGTATTTATTTTGTCCTCTTGTTATTTTAACAGGCTGGCAGCAGACCTAAAGTCCCCGCCACTGACCTCGCCCTGCAGCACTTTGATGCAACATACAGCCTGCAGTTGGGTGACCTGTGGCCCTCCGTTCGTATTGGAATGCTGTCAGAGAAAAAGTATGGAGCTTTACTGAACAACTTCGCATCCGATTCTGACATCATATCGAGCTTTCATTCCCAAGGGTGCAGAGACTTCATCGGTGCAGCATGCTCCACAGAGAAGGACGCGCCTGCAGAGAGACCTTCGCAGGACCCTGAGCTCCATAATCAGACAGCAGCTCCTGTCAGCTCAAATATCCAGTGTTTCGTTTTTCCAAGGGGAGACATTTCTCGATTCAAACCTGCAAGGTAACAATCAGAGCAGTGTTGCCAGACGGGGCCGGGTTTCAGTTGATTTGTATATAAGTTATTATATGAAATAGTTATGAAGATGCTGCCTGAGACATCGATTGTATTAGTTTTGGCCTACAATGTATTTTTAGTATGCATACAAACTATTTTTTACAGATTTGCCATCATCGTCATTCCATGTAAAGCACAGGAGACTCGTGTAGGTTCACTGGTGGTTCTGGATAGTAAATAAAATGTCTATATTTCTGTTGTAGTCATGGCAACCCCTGGTTCCTGTCACCACCACTGTAAAGAAATTTTTGGTCGAAAATAAAATGCGTAAAGTGTAGAAGTGAGAGATGTGAGCAGCAGGAAAGCAGCTGGCTAACTTTGTTCACACAACAGTTGGATGATGTGTCTTTCTGTCCTCTCAGGCCAGACAGCAATGGATTATTAACTTACTACCTGCTGGATGCGGCGTCTGTCCTGCCTGTTCTGGCGCTGGATGTCCAGCCAGGTCACTCAGTGCTGGACCTCTGCGCTGGTCCTGGAGGGAAGACCCTTGCTCTCCTGCAGGCTCAGGCCGTCAGTATGTAAACCGATGTTTGGCTTCTCTCTTAATGTGGACAGTTCCGGCCCTGAAGTCTGATTGGCTTAATAATGTTCAAAGCTAATTTATATTAGTTGAATTAATTATAATATGTACTGTACAGTTTATAGTAGTTACTAAATAATTCATAGTCATTGCAACCAATAATTTATATTAGTTGAACTAATTATAGTATGTACTGCATCATTTATAGTAGTTACTAATAATTCATAGTAATTGTTATCTATTGTTATATTGGTTGAATTAATTATTTGAATTATAATTATAGTGTATATACTGTACAATGTATAGTATTTACTAAACAATTCATAGTAATTGCTAGTAATAATTTATAGTAGTTATAATTGAATAATTTAATCAATAATTTATATTGGTGGAATTAATTATAGTATATACTGTACAATTTATAGTATTTACTAAATTATTATTCGTAGTTGCTGTTAATATTGTATAGTACATTATGAAAAATTCATAATAGTTACTGAATAATTCATAGTAGATACTGAAGTTCATAGCATTTAATGAATAATGTATAATAGTTACTGAATAATTAATAGCAGATACTGTCTAACTCATTGTAGTTACAGAAATAATTCATGGCAGGTGCTGATTATTTGTCTGATAAGCCTGTGATTCATGATGTTAATAATAAACACTGCTGTATTTTATATTATATTTTGTAATATTTTTGTAAAATCTATAAGCCCACAGTTTTGTGGTGTGTAACAAAATCTACTGCTTAGATCTTTCCTCTCATTTTTCCTCTCATGGTCATGTTCCTTTTGTTAACGGACATTCAGGGTTTCTCTGGGCCAACGACCTGTCAGGGTCTCGTACGGCTCGCCTCCGCCGGACCCTGCAGAGCTACCTGCCCAGAGAGCTGCTGACGGAGGACAGAGTTTACATCACCTCGTTAGATGGACGGCAGTGGAGAAATAAAGATGAACACCAGTTTGATAAGGTCAGTGTCAGGATTTAGAGAAACTGCACAAAGACATCCATTTTATTAATTAAGCACCTACAATTAAATCTGGAGTGATAAAAAAGTTATAAAAATGTTATTGCTGATCTGAGAAAATGTTGTTAAATTATGGTTTCGTTGAAATAAGAAATTTTCTGCTTTGATTTCCATCCAGTCTTTATTATTTTCGCCACTATTGTCCAGTTTATAAGAATGTTTTCTGCTGTTCTCAAAGTTATTTATGTAGCATATTTCATACACACATGTAAAAAAAATTAAAATCAAGAGATAATAAAATAAGCGATAAGGGAATGAAAAGATCAAATAAATATAAGCGTAAGTTATGTTAAAGTAAAAGGAGAAAAGAAATAGAAACAGATGAGAGAAAATGTCTTTAGCACTCTTCAACGCACTTTTCAATGTCTGAATCAGAATTTGGGGTTTAGCTGTTGGCTTTCTAAAGAAAATGCTCCAGTAGCTGCTGCGACATGAACCATTGCCCTCTTTGTCTCTTTCTTTCTCTCTCAGGTTTTGGTGGACGTCCCCTGTACCACAGACAGGCATTCTCTAATGGAGGAGGACAATAACATATTCAAGAGATCCAGAACCAAAGAGAGACAGAAGCTTCCGTTACTGCAGATGGAGCTCCTCTTGTAAGCAATAATTTCTTCTTTTGAAGAAAAGATAATGTGTGTTTAAATAGTGTGTTTAAAGTGGCCCTAATCCTAAACCTAACCTTAACCTCAACCCAAAACCTAATCCTAACACTCACCCTGGCTCTAATCCTAACTCTAACCTTAACCTCAACCCAAAACCTAATCCTAACCCTCACCCTGGCCCTAATCTTAAACCTAACCTTAACCTCAACCCAAAACCTAATCCTAACCCTCACCCTGGCCCTAATCTTAAACCTAACCTTAACCTCAACCCAAAACCTAATCCTAACCCTCACCCTGGCCTTAACCCTAAACCTAACCTTAACCCCAACCCAAAACCTAATCCTAACCCTCACCCTGGCCCTAATCTTAAACCTAACCTTAACCTCAACCCAAAACCTAATCCTAACCCTCACCCTGGCCCTAATCTTAAACCTAACCTTAACCTCAACCCAAAACCTAATCCTAACCCTCACCCTGGCCTTAATTCTAAACCTAACCTTAACCTCAACCCAAAACCTAACCCTAACCCTCACCCTGGCCTTAATTCTAAACCTAACCTTAACCTCAACCCAAAACCTAATCCTAACCCTCACCCTGGCCTTAATTCTAAACCTAACCTTAACCTCAACCCAAAACCTAATCCTAACCCTCACCCTGGCCCTAATCTTAAACCTAACCTTAACCTCAACCCAAAACCTAATCCTAACCCTCACCCTGGCCCTAATCTTAAACCTAACCTTAACCTCAACCCAAAACCTAATCCTAACCCTCACCCTGGCCTTAATTCTAAACCTAACCTTAACCTCAACCCAAAACCTAATGAAGCTGCAAAAACATTCCACTTTGAGATCATCATGGTTGTGATGTCTGTTGAAGGGATGTGGAGTGTCAGTCTGTAGCAGAGTTATTGGAGTGGAAGATGTGGGAAAATGACTAAACGCTGTGCTGTTCATGGCTGTCGGGAACCAAACGGATCATTGCAGCCTTTCCAAAGATCCACATACATGAAAGGAGCGTCTGACAGCCTGTTTAACCAATAAGGGATAAAGACAGTTTGGAAAATGGTCACTTAAGAGAAGAATTGTTTTTTGCTACATACACTTAAAAGTCTGGAAACAAATACAATCTAAGAAAAATACAGAATATAAGCCCTTTAAAAGCCACACCATCAGCCAGAATGACTATAAACAGGTGTGGTTGTTACTTCATAGCAAACAACATTATCTAAAATAGTCAGTGTGTCATTATAGTGTAATGAGGTGACCTAATGTTGGAGGTGGGCAGTATGACAGTATTTGTTGTTGTTGTGGTAAATTACGTCACATTACGCCACAATATGCAATATGCATATATAAAATATTTATGCCAAAAACATATGGGACATTTTATATAATGTCCCATATATATATATATATATATATATATATATATATATATATATATATATATATATATACACATTATTTATGTATATATATGGGACATTGGTGTAACATATAGATATTTACATATATAAGGTGAAAATGGGACGTATTATTTATTTATACATACCTATCTAATACATATGGGACATATTCACAAGACGTATGTGATACATTATTACATATTATGTACTTACAACTATAAAATATTTATATATGATATGATTGATATATATATATATATATATATATATATATGTGTGTGTGTGTGTGTGTGTGTGTGTGTGTGTGTATACATATATAATGTGTGTGTGTGTGTGTTAAATTAAATTGCCTGTTAAATTGAGGAGGATACTGTGAATTTAGAGAATGAAGACTGATGGTTTTTCCCTTTCTGTGCAGGGCAGGGATTCAGGCCACTCGTCCAGGCGGTCATGTTCTGTACTCGACCTGCTCTCTGTCTCAGCTGCAGAACCAGTGTGTGGTGGAGCAGGCCATCAGCGTTGCCCAGCAGGAGATGGACATTACAGTGCAAGTGCAAAACCTCAGCAGCTTCGTCCAGCTTTTTTCAGACACTTTCCACTTCGCCCCTCAGCCAGCGGTGGGAGAGTTAGTCTTACCGCACTTATGTGCCAACTTTGGCCCCATTTATATGTGCAAATTGCAAAGGATCAGCTAGAGATGTCCAATCTGAAAGACTTCCTGTGGTCACTACGCACTGATTCACCTCTTTGTAAATAAGCCGGCTAAACGCTGCCCTCTGTTGGCTAAAGTTGTTTGCCAACATATATTTGTATAAACAGATACAAAATATACAGTGAGGTCCAAAAGTCTGAGACTGCTTGTGAAAACGTGTTTATTTTGCATTATTTTTGAATTTACTACATTTTTCTTTGTAAATTATATTATCAGCATAAGAATTTGAATGAAAAGTAGAATCTTTGAAATATTTATTTCAGAGTTTTTAAATATTTGCTCTCTTCCTCTTAAGCAGCCCCTGTTGAGCAGATCAAATCCATATATAATTGATAATCATGATTTTTCATCTAGACAGTATTATGATACTTATTTTTAGATATCTGACCAAGCACCAGTGTGAGGACCGCTGTTAAAGGGTCTGTACCATGGAAAACTGAATTTACTTTTCTTTAGCAAAAAAAAAAAGTTTGATGTGGTATAAAATATGTAGAAATGTATGAAATTATATATATAAATATGTGGTGGTGGTGTATTAGTGTGAGTTGCGCTGGTCTGAGTGGATCAGACACAGCAGTGCTGCTGGAGTTTTTAAACACTATGTCCACTCACTGTCCACTCTATTAGACACTCCTACCTTGTCAGTCCACCTTGTAGATGAAAAGTCAGAGACGATAGCTCGTCTGCTGCTGCACAGTTTGTGTTGGTCATCCTCTAGTCCTTCATCAGTGGTCACAGGACGCTGTTGGCTGGATGTTTTTGGTCGGTGGACTATTCTCAGTCCAGCAGTGACACTGAGGAGTTTAAAAACTCCAGCAGCACTGCTGTGTCTGATCCACTCAGACCAGCGCAACACACATTAACACACCACCACCATGTCAGTGTCACTGCAGTGCTGAGAATGTAGGACCGTATATTGGGCTTGGTACATAATACCACTGCGGTGAATGGACTTCAGAGAAAAAACATCTTTACATGTAACTCTTGTTGTGGTTCTGTTTACAGACTGTAGGTGGCAGCAGCTGACAATAAGAAAGTCCCATCACCTCCTTAATGGTTGGAAAAAATTATACAGTAGGCTTTCAGTAATTAGCACAAATAAATTGTGTTTACTGTAATCAAAGGCAAAGAAATACTTTTATTTTGTCAATATTTACAGGACAGAATGATAGCATTTCAGTTTAAATCAGGTTTTGTTTGTATTATGTGAGAACAGCACTCTTTCTTATTGGCCTGCTTATAGTCAAGCACTTCCTTTTTACTTTTCTTTTAATAAATTATGGCCGATTTCTATGAACAGTTCTATGAAGAGCTTTCAAATAATTTTTCTTTTCTTTTTTTATTTTATATTTTTATTTTCTGTTTCCACTAACCCCATTTTTTCCTCTCATATTTCACAATGCTCTGATTTAAATGTTATCAATTGGTGGTCGACTAGTACAAATATAAAGTAGACAGTAGGTCATTACTGTGTAGTGAGGTGACCTAAAACAGCAGGTAGATTTTCTTATTAATGTGCGCGGATATTGATAAATTGCACTCATCTTAATCTGGATGATTAATTTTGGTGGCATCCTTAATGAGATGCTTAATTTTACATCCAATGTATTTAAATGAAGTTGCCTTTCCTTGGTGAAGCTGAACTGCACTTGTTTTCCAGGATGCTCCTAAGCACCTCCACTCCATCCCCCCTCCACCCCCCCGCCCTCTGCAACCCCCCCGCCCTCTGCAACCCCCCCCAGTCCGAGGGTGGTAAGAGGTTCGATTTTGCTTTCCGGGAGCGTACCAGCTTCAATTTCCCCTCCACTGTCCACGAACCTGCCGTCTATTCCGGGCAATGTAGCATGAAAAGGTGTGCGCACTTTAAGAACGAGGCCGAGCAGCACTATGGACTCCCCGCCGCCATTAAGCTGCTCGAAAACAGTGTTGCATCGAGATTGGCCGCACTGTCGTTTAGTTGCCGGCTTCTGGTTGAACATTAAGGACGCAAGAGGATCCCGAAATGGGATGTTTTCCCCTCATTTTGCCGTTCGCCTTTTATTCCACAGATGAGTGCAGATAATTTTCTGTGCGATTGTGAGTGATTACTGTATTACCACGGTAATATAGGGTTATTTGGGAATGCAAAGAGAATTAATGACACATAAAAACTATTTCTGCATTGGCTGCGTCTCTCGGCCGGGTATAGTTCTCCATGCCTGCATCTTGTGATTACCTAAACGTATTGTAAATATGTCTTTGCTATGGGCTTTTACATAAATTTACATTTTTTAACACTCAGGAAACACAGGCCCATTAGGGACGAGTTATTTTCCTCCATACGGTTTGTTCATTATTGACTTTGACAGTGCGGACGATGCTCGGCGCCTGATCGTTTGGAAAGCGCAAGGCCAGTGATGGAAATCTGATGTAAATCTTTGTAACGACAGAAATATTGAAATTATCCGCTGTACCTGGAGGCTCAGTGACCTGTTGGGTGAGGGGTCGTGGTGCTATCTCTACAGCTGTGGCAGTGGAGGGAGTCTGCTTGGGTGGCTTTGGGTTGGAGTTGGAGCCTTTCACCATAGCATAGAAGAAGATCCTTCTATATAATCCCTTAATCTCAACCCAAAACTTAAACCTAAGCCTTTTGCTGTTGATAATCACCAGATAGTTTATTGAAGGACCAGATAATTAATTAAAAGAATACTTTTAGTGTTTTTCTTTCTGCCGTTTAGTTTTCACGCTCAGGCTCCCTGGACAAAAGAGTAGTCAACTTGCATGTTTAAGGTGGTAGTAACTTCAAGCACGAGGATGATTGGGCTGTTAATACCAGTGGGGTGTGCGACAGGATTCATAGATTGAGAAGAGGTGGTACAGTCCAGTGAATGTCTTGTTCGATGTGTGGAAAATGGGTCGCAAAGCAGATGTTAATTGGCAGAAAGGAGTGATTGTATTTGGGCAGCCAAAGGAAGCAGCTGAATTTTCAGGTGTATAGAAGCATATGGTCATACGGGTCGACCAGCAGTGGCAAAAATCCCAGACTACAGGAAATTCTCATCAGAATTGTGTCCGAAAGACGAAAGTGACGGACAGGGACCGCCAGCTTGTTTCACGGCTTGTGAATAAAAATCGCTTCGCTTCCAGGCAAGAATTGCTTCTAGAAGGTTCTTCACAACCAATTTCTGAAAGAACTCAACTACAAAGAACTGCATACAATGAACATATGGAGCAGAGTGGCACACAAGAGGCCTTCGCTCACTTCCGCTCACAAAGTTACCCAGTTACAGTGGGCGAAGAGACAGAAACTGAACTGGAAATGACTGGAAACGTGTTATCTATTTGTGCTTGTGGAGGTATTATACACTGTGAGGCACGTTTCACTGATGTCTATGATGGCAGTATTGCAAAAATATAACCGTGCCAATTTAGGACTTTTTCTCATACATACAAGGAGCAATATGCATCACAATATCTAGTTCTTCTGTGGTTTGATTAACTGGAAAAGACAAACAAGAAGCAGTAGGATCACTTTTGAAAAATACTGTCAAAAATTACAAATACATTGATTTTATTCACTCTTTCAAAACTGTACTGCACCAAATTCAGTTAAACAAGGCTAACTTTGCTCTTTGTAGAGAAACTTGCTGTTCGAAAGTGTTTATAAGCACTGGCAATATCCACTATAAGTGATATATAAATTAAACTTCTTATTACAATTCTAATAATAACAACAATTATTATTACTTTTATTATGCTCAGAAAAGCATATTGTGAAATAATGTGATGTAATTTATCACAATAATGAACTAACGATCACATTGTCGACTCCTATGTGTTTTTCTTTTGTTAAATGTAATGTTTATGTTTACCGCGTACAGTGTGCTGTCCATACATGTTTGGACGACTTTTCAGCTGTGCTAACTTACATTACATCCATGGGCTCGAACAGTGTTGACGACTTCTACTTTGAGCTCCACCTTCATGAAGTGTTGGATCAACTGTACACCACATGCCATCGCTGTAGTATTCCTGCTTTTGGACTATGTTGCCTTCAGGTTTGTTACCACAAGAAGCAAACCATGTCATCTGTGAAACATGATGGAGGTAGTGTCAGTGCGGTGGAACTGGATCACTCATTATTTATTGTTGACTGAACTGGATTACTTGTTTCTATTGATGATGGAACTGGATTGCTTGTCTTTGTTGATAACAGAACCAGATCACTCATCTTTATTGATGATGGAACTGGATTACTCATCTTTATTGATGATGGAACTGGATCGCTGATCTGTTTATAATAGAATTGGATTGCTCGTCTTTAATAATGGCAGAACTGGACTGCTTGTGTTAGTTGATGATTTAACTGGATCTCTCTTCTTTATTGATGATGGAGCTGGATCGCTTGTCTTTACTGATGATGGAACTGGATCACTTGTCTTTACTGATGATGGAACTGGATCGCTCTTCTTTACTGATGATGGAACTGGATCACTTTTCTTTATTGATGATGGAACTGGATCACTTGTCTTTACTGATGATGGAACTGGATCACTCGTCTTTAATGATGATGGAACTGGATCGCTCTTCTTTACTGATGATGGAACTGGATCACTCGTCTTTAATGATGATGGAACTGGATCACTTGTCTTTACTGATGATGGAACTGGATCACTCGTCTTTAATGATGACGGAACTGGATCTCTTGTCTTTACTGATGATGGAACTGGATCGCTCTTCTTTACTGATGATGGAACTGGATCACTTGTCTTTACTGATGATGGAACTGGATTGCTCTTCTTTACTGATGATGGAACTGGAACGCTTTTCTTTACTGATGATGGAACTGGATCGCTCTTCTTTACTGATGATGGAACTGGATCGCTTTTCTTTACTGATGATGGAACTGGATCGCTTTTCTTTACTGATGATGGAGATGGATCGCTTTTCTTTATTGATGATGGAACTGGATCACTTGTCTTTACTGATGATGGAACTGGATCGCTTTTCTTTACTGATGATGGAACTGGATCGCTTTTCTTTACTGATGATGGAGCTGGATCGCTTTTCTTTATTGATGATGGAGCTGGATCGCTCTTCTTTACTGATGATGGAACTGGATCGCTCTTCTTTACTGATGATGGAACTGGATCGCTCTTCTTTACTGATGATGGAACTGGATCGCTCTTCTTTACTGATGATGGAACTGGATCACTCTTCTTTATTGATGATGGAACTGGATTGCTCGTCTTTACTGATGATGGAACTGGATCGCTCTTCTTTACTGATGATGGAACTGGATCGCTCTTCTTTACTGATGATGGAACTGGATCGCTCTTCTTTACTGATGATGGAACTGGATCGCTCGTCTTTACTGATGATGGAACTGGATTGCTCGTCTTTACTGATGATGGAACTGGATCGCTCGTCTTTACTGATGATGGAACTGGATCGCTCGTCTTTACTGATGATGGAACTGGATCGCTCTTCTTTATTGATGATGGAACTGGATCGCTCGTCTTTACTG